TTGTGAAAAAGTTGTCATTTTAAATCCCCCCCTGTGGGCAGGTTAAGTGTCAGATTTACAAAAAAAATATACCAAATGATAGGTAAAGACATCAAGCATCTATATAAAAAAAAATTATATTGATATGTTCATTTTTGAAAAAGTTACGGCAGTTTTTAGTAAAAAATATTGAAAAAATTTCGAAAATTAGCGATTTTTAAATTTGTAATTTTTTTGGAGGTTTCCCCCATTTACGGGGAACGAGGGAAATTTTTTCAATTTTGAAGGGTAATGTCTTCGACTAGATACGATTTGTGATCTTTTGACGTATCGTTGAAAGAAATCCGTCGGTGAGAGCTGAGAAAAAGTGGTAACATACACAAAAAAATAAAAATAAAAAAAAAAACACCATAGTAAAACCAATACCTTCTCATCTTCCCATAGAAGCTAAAAGAGTTTTTAATATAATTTTTTTCTTAACCAAAATTAAATTTTCTAAATATTTGTTTAAGAAAATATAGTATCATGGTATGCATTTGTTAAAGCTTTCGTGGATTGTCGTATTGATTGAAATGTTTACGGATGTATTAACGTTTCAATCAATATAGTCTGTTGCTCTTAAAGTATAATTCTATACATTCTTAATCTTTATAATAATTTTTTATTATTATAGTTTGAGTACGAAGAAAACCCAGATCCGCCAAAAACACAAGTAACAAAATAATAATAACTAATCCTAACATTAAGGATTGAATAGGAATTGAAAAGGATTAATAATAATCATTTATAATTGAAATTAATTTTTTGTCGATATTCACAATGCTGAAGCGACTAATGAGGTTGCATCAAGTCGAAAGCCGACGTCAAATTTTTTGTCAAATAGTATGAGGTGTCTTGAACGAAACTTAGGCGAATTGATCAACATTTCGTATGTTCGCGGGGACAACAGATGAGAAAGAATAAAGTAGTCAAAACCGGAGAAGACCTAAGGAATAAAGTGTTTGATACCAGCCATGTGTACAGGTCTACCCAACGCTTGTAGTGTCAATGGAACAGAGACATCACCACTTAATTCTAATCTGGACTTGTGTATAAAGGACAAAGATAGATACAAAGTAAGAATAGGAACTTGGAATATTGGAACATTAATTGGTAGAAGTAGAGAATTAGTAGAAGTATTGAAGAAGAAAAAAATTAACATTTGTTGTGTGCAGGAAACTAAGTGGAAAGCAGAGAAATCGAGGGAATTAGGTGAGTGTTGTAAAATAATATACTCAGGTAGGTCTAGTAGAAATAATGGTGTAAGTATAATAATGGATGAAGAGATGAAAAGTGAACTAGTAGAAGTAGCTAAGAAAAATGACAGAATTATAGTCGTAAAATTGATATTCGATGAAAAACTGATTAATGTAATAAGTTCCTATGCACTACAAGTAGGATGTGATGATCTAGACAAAGAAGTTTTTTGGTGATAGATAGATGGGTGATGCAAGGGGTACCTGGCAATGAGAAAACCGTGATATGTAGAGATTTGAATTGACATGTAAGTAAAGAATTCTGCAAAGGAGATTATTAATGAGAGTAGTAGTAGAATAACAAGAAATAAGGAAACCTGGTGGTGGGAGAAGGATGTTCAAAGAATCATAGAGAGTAAGAAAAAGCATTTCAAGTATGGCAGAAGAGCAAATATAGAGAATATTGTATAGAGTATAAACGTATGTGCAAAGAAGCCAAGTGTGCAGTAAATAAGGCGAATTTTAAGAGGTATGATGAGTTGTATGATAGGCTACGAACAAAGGAAGGCGAGAAAGAAATCTATAGACTTGCAAAAGTAGAGAGAAAAGGTCTAAAGATTATCATTATATAAGGTGTATAAAAAGTGTTGATAATAACGTACTTTTGAGTGATGATGATTTGAAAAAAAGTGGAAAGAGTATTTTGAAAAATTATTGAATGAGGAGTACCCAAAAGAAACATTAGAGGATAATGAGAGACTGGTAGATTTAATTAGTGAGAAAGAGGTATAAAAGGCTGTGGCATTAATGAAAAAGAATAAAGCAGTAGGACCAGATGAAGTGCCAGTAGAAGTATGGAAAATAATAGGCGGTGTTGGGATAAGGTGATTGAAGGAACTTTTAAATCAAATTTTGTTAAAAGGGAAAATTCCAAATGAATAGTATTTTGGTGCCGATATATAAAAGTAAATGTGAAATACAAGAGTGTGGAAATTATAGAGGCATAAAGCTTATGAGTCATAGTATGAAAATTGTGCTATTTTAAACGGTATAATATATACACTTACAAATAATTATATAATATTATGAAGTACTCTGTGTAGATATTAAAACAATTAGTTATTTGGTTAGGTTTTTAATTGCATTAAACACTGTTATATATTATTTTGTGAGAGGCAATTAAATAGAAAAGTTTAGGGAAAAGAAAAAATAACAGTGTATGGTATTTATAAATTTGGAGAAGCGTATGATAGAGTACCGAGAGAGGTTTTAAAGTGGGCATTAATGAGAAAAGGAGTCCCGAAAAGGTACATTAATATAATAGAAGATATGTATGATGGCACTTGTACAAGTAAGTAGGACTGCACCAATGTTCTGTTTTAAGCCTTTACTTATTCTCTATATTGATGGATGAATTTACTAGAAAAATACAAGGAGAGGTGCCAAAATGCATGTTGTTTGCTGACGATATTGTTAATAGGAGAAAATAGGGAGGAAATTAATCAAGGACTAGAGGTGTGGAGATCAGCTCTTGAAGAAAAGTGTTTAAGAATAAGTAAAAGTGGTGAGGACGTGATTGGAGAGGTGGAAAGTTTTAAGTATTTAGGATCAGTTGTGCAAAAGAGTGGTGATATTGACGATGATGTAAGACACAGGTTTAAGTGCGGGTGGTTGAAGTGGAGAAGAGCGTCTAGCGTCTTATGCAATAAAAGAATTTCAATGAGGCTGAAAGGTAAATTCTACAAGACTGTAGTGAGACCAGATATGATGTATTGTTCAGAGTGTTGGGCGGTTGATAAGAAAGTAGAGCAGAAAATGAGTGTAGCAGAGATGAGAATGCTTAAATGGAGAAATGGAGTGATTAGAGAAGATAGGGTAAGGAACGAGCATATAAGAGGGAATATAGATGTAGTGTCAACTGTGGACAAGATGAGAGAAAATATACTTAGATGGTTTGGTCATGTAATGAGGAGAGAAGAATCTGAAGCTGTAAGAACAGTTATAGAAATTAATGTTGAAGAAAGAAGAGATAGAGGAAGACCAAAAATGAGACGGAGGGATGCTATTGAATGCGATATGAGGACAGCTGATTTGAGCGTTGAGGATGTGGGAGATCGTGTCAAGTGGAGATTTAGGATAAGGGTGGCCGATCCCAAGTAGTTGGGATTAAGGCGAGGAAGAAGAAGAAGAAGTCGATATTCACAATGTTATTAACTTATAAGAACATTTAAATAGTATGCATGTGGCTCTATTATTGTAAAAGTACAATATAACTTTTATTTAATATTAAGGAAACCTAACATTTTATTGGAGGTATATATATAGTAAAATTATTTATTTGGTATATAAATTATCGCTATATTACTTGTTTCTTCATTTGAAGGTTAGCTCAAAAAGATATATATAAATTATTTCTATCACAAACTTAATTTCACGACAAATATATAATTTAAATAAAAAAATAACCTATAAAAATAAGCTATAATACCATCATAATAACATTAAAATATTGAATTTTGAAAATGACCTCAAAGAACTGTAACTCCATTAGTTTTTTTTTTTAGGTTGTAAGAGAAACTCAAGTGTCTGATTATACAAATTCAATAGTCAATCAAATACAAGTATGTAAAAAATTATGAAATATGATAATATTTTGTATTCATGGAAAGTTGAAAATTAAAATAAAAGTCTACATTTTTTGATAGATTAATAATTAATAAATGTAAAAAATGTTTCACTAATAACAGTTAAAGATCACGATAATGTCAACATGTAATGATTTATTTACTCAGGGTCTAAAATTTATAATATATCTTGACTGTACTATAATTTTTTTATAATTTTTTTTGTTCATCTAATGGAAAATTAGGAGCGTAAATTATTAAGTCTACTAAACTAAATATAAAACGCAATGTATTTCATGATCCCTGAACTTAGTCGAAGGATTATGAGACAAATGAAATTTACACTTAAGTATTATCAAAGATCTTGTTAAAACTTAATCTCAACATTACAATTTTACAAGAAATTCAATTAACACAAACATTCATTCAATTTATTATTCTATAAACTAATTTTTAAAAAATATTTTCTAAAAGTATTCTTAATATTAAACAATAAAATCAAAATATCAATTTTTTTAATTGGACATCAATTACAAGATTTAAACTTTTCTATGCGAATAGATATTTTTATATACAATTATTTTTTTGTTTTTAGAACTCTTCACATTTAGAACCTAAAGTTTCGCCATCAATCAAAAAAATTCATAATTCTCGTCTTCAAGTAAATTGAATTAATGAAAACTTATTTTTCTTAAACATTATTTATAATAAATCTGTAGTAATAATTATTTTAAACTCAATAAGCTTTTCATGGTATCTCTATTATATATTTTTTTATAATTATAGAACTATAGCGTAGAATTTAATATTGACGCAAAAGAAAAATATCAGATAAATAATAGGAAAGGGAAAGATGTATATATCGAACCACAATCTACTGTTAAACTTAACAAGAATAATAGAAAAGGAAAAAGTATACAAGTTGAATCAAAAACCATTGTGGAAAATACCAAAAATGACAGAGAAGGAGAAGTTATAAATAATGAAAAAATTACCATTGAATGCAAAAAAGATTCCGATGAAAATGAACTTTATGTTAATAAACTTCAACCAATTATAGATCATAAAAAAGTAGATGAGAAAGAAAAATGCCTTTGTACAAATTTTGTAAATTACAATCCTGTAACCATTGAAGAAGTTTTTAATCAAGTAATGAATATTAAAATGCTCAGTACTCATTAATTAATATATTTAGGGTTAGTAAACAAAATCTTTATATGCAAAGAATATAATATTTATTTAGTCATTATAACAATATTAAATATAACTTTTATTAAAACTAGTAAGTATTTTTTATAGATATATTATGTTTACCAAACCTATAAGGACATTAGTGATTTATGTGTCATTATGACCAACTACTAGAGATCATCCATTTGGGAGCCAACAGTGGCAAACAAGACTACTAATACAAATACTTTAATTTTTAAGAGCTATTGCCAAGAAATTTTTTAAAGGACTATTAATATCGAGTACTTTTTTACGTTAAAAGAATTTTTTTATCAGTCTTAAACTCTAAAATTAGATAATACACTTAGGTTCACCAAATTTACGAAGAATGATCATTAAATGTAAGCATCATAAAAATAAACAGGCATTTTTAAAGATTGGGATTACATTTAATTACAAACATTTTGATAAATTAGTATTTTTACTTGAAATTCTTTCAAGGAACATTTTTTTATATCTTTATTTTATGTTTCATTAATCAATTTCATTTTAGACATATGAATTTAAAGACCATCAAATCGACTTATCAGGAAGTAGATATTTTATTCCAGTAACTCATCAATGGCAGTTTGCAAAATGCTATGATTTCAATTTTCAATTGATTAAAAGTGTAATGGGTGAAGACGAAGAGATTGTGAAATTTTTAGGTGTGCCATTAAAGCAAAAAAAAATGCCAAAAAACGATTACAGCTTCTACAGTGCGTTGTCATATTGGATAAGTGGTTCGACTATTTATGCAAAGAAACTACAATTACATATTAATGCCGTAATACTAAAAAGATATATTCATTTACTTATTCATTAATTCATTTTCATGAAAATTTTTTAGCAAATGGAAGATTCGAATGGTAATTTTTTAAATCTTTAATTAGTTATCTTTATTCAAAAATAAATAAATTTCAATATTCATAATTTCTAATTTAAATCTTTAAGTAGATACAATGGTTATAAAAATTTTTTTAATAAAATAATATATATATATTCAGAGTACCCAAGCATTCACTGACAACTTAAATAACTTTTAATCTAGTTAATATTTTTTACTGATTTTTATTTAAATAACAGTTATACGTTAGGGATATATAATTTTCTTAAAAATATTAATTATTTTTAAATTTTAAATAAAATATAAAAAAAAACCAAGATAGCTCTTTTGTAGAGTAGATTTTAAAAAAATGTTTGTAAAAAAATATCTTATTAATATACAGTAGTAAATAGTCTATATCAATTTAAAGTTTATGAAAATTTGAATTTTCATGTATTATTTTACCGTATTAAACATTGAAATACGTGTTGATACAAGGATGGAAGAACACTTTCTTTTCATGCATACTATAAGTAAGAGGTTTATCACTTTTTCCATGAAAATTACTTACGCTTGAAAGAGAGTGTTAAATAATAATAATAATACAAGTACTACCACAGAATAAATAAATATAAAAAAATACAATAAAAGTTATTTAATTGTTTTACTAAATTCGATTTATAAGTTTCAATTCCATTAGGTATGAGAGTAAGTTATCCAAAGTTAGTCCAATGTAATATACTATTTAACGAATTTATTAACATAATTGACTTACCAAATTTCTTATCATGGTATTAATACCAAGTTTGTAAATATAATAGACCTTACACTTAGTATAAAATCAATCTTGACTCGTAATAAATAGATACTAAATAAGTTAAAATAACTAGTTTTATATCTAAAGAGAAAAAACTACTTATTAAATTATAGGTGTTGTTCGTTTTTTATTTGAAATAAAGCCAGACATTGGAATGTTAATAATTTTCATGGAAAAATCCATACTCATCATATTTAGTGTGAAAATATGGTGTTTATTTCTGTCCTTTTTTATAAAACATAACCAGCGTTTAATACCGTAGAATAAATACAGAAAAATTTTAATTTTTATAAAATTTAAAATGCTACAGAAAATTAAAAGTAGCATATAAGGGACCTTCTGGGACACCCTTATTAACCCCATGAGGTGGTGGGATGCGTGGTCTACCAAGAGTATAACAATTGATGAGATGTGATTGGTTGATAAGCCATATCCACTGTGGGGGTGTTAAAACAAAATGGTGATCTTACATTGTCTCCTATACTTGGGATGAAATGGAGAGCTCTGATTGCTATATGAGACTTATTTTTCATTATATATTATTACAAACTATACATTATAAAATAATAATATGTAATGTAATACGCAAAAATAAATAAACGTATATATATAATAATGGTATTTAATTATAAACCTGGAGTGCACAGGTATAAATCAATTGTGTATTGGTAGAACATATTTTTTAGCTGCGATTCGAAGCTGAGAAGGTATTGGTTTTACTAAGATGTGTTTTTTTTTTTGTGTCTGTTACCACTTTTTCTCAGCTCTCACCGAACCGATTTCTTTCAATGATACGTCAAAAGATCACAATTCGTATCTAGTCAAAGACATTACCCTCAAAAATTGAAAAAAATTCCCTCGTGCCCCGTAAATGGGGGAAACCTCCGAAAAAATTACAAATTTAAAAATCCCTAATTTTCGAAATTTTTTCAATTTTTTTTAATAAAAACTGCCGTAACTTTTTTAAAAATAAACATATCAATATACTTTTTTTTTTTATAGATGCATGATGTCATTACCTATCATTTTGTGTATTTTTTTTATAAATTTGACTTTTTACCTGCCCAAAGGGGCAGATTTAAAATGACAACTTTTTTACAAAAAATTAATTTTTTCAACTTAACTTTTGAAAGTGTTCCGGAAGGTCTAACACTTTTATATATATCTTAAATTAAAGTTAATGTAATATACTTTATCATGAAAAAAAAAAATTTCGGACTTTATTTTATCTTCATGGTGAAAACAGACATTAAACTTAAAAAAAAAATACGATTTTTGTAAAAAAATTCATTTTTATATTTTTAACTTTATAATGCTATAACTTTTTGAAAGATGTATGGATCAATATAATTCTTTTTTTTGTAGATGCATGATGTCTTTACCTATCATTTGGTATATTTTTTTTATAAATCTGACTTTTTACCTGCCTACAGGGGGGGATTCAAAATGACAACTTTTTCACAAAAAATTGACTTTTTCAACTTAAATTTTGAAAGTGTTCCGGAAAGTCTGACACTTTTATATATATCTTAAATTAAAGCTAATGTAATATACTTTATCATGGTAAAAAAAAATTTCGGACTTTATTTTATCTTCATGGTGAAAACAGACATCAAATTTTAAAAAAAAATACGATTTTTGTAAAAAAATTCATTTTTATATTTTTAACTTTATAATGCTATAACTTTTTGAAAGATGTATGGATCAATATAATTTTTTTTTTTGTAGATGCATGATGTCTTTACCTATCATTTGGTATATTTTTTTTATAAATCTGACTTTTTACCTGCCTACAGGGAGGGATTCAAAATGACAACTTTTTCACAAAAAATTGACTTTTTCAACTTAAATTTTGAAAGTGTTCCGGAAAGTCTGACACTTTTANTTAAAGTGTTCCGGAAAGTCTTTTCTATATATATTAAATTAAATGTAATATACTTTATTATGGTAAAAAAAAATTTCGTTCTTTATTTTGTCTTCAGGGTGAAAATGGCTACTGAATGCTATTTTCGTGTGAAAATTCTCGATTTTATTATTTATATTATATTTAACTTTATAATGCTATAACTTATTGAAAAGTTTATGGATCAACACAATTTTTTTATGAGAAATAATATTTTTTAATAATCACTCTTTTATTCGATATACTTTATCTGAATCAGGATATTAATAACGAACTAGCAGTTCCTGTTGCAGATAATATAACAAAATATTTTTAATGATAAGCTAACAATTATTAAATTTGTTTAATAAAATAACTCATTTCAGTCACTAAGTTACAATTGCTTAATTGTTATTAATATATTAATTGGCTTAAATAAAAAGTAAAAAAGACTTTTTGGCCAACGATAAAAAACGTTGCTAAAATATTATTTAATATAATTTAAATATTGGCTGAAAACAATTAAATAACATATTTATTTTTGAAATAATGAAAATTTGTTTTAGCAACGTACACTTTTTCACACTTGTCAAAAGAAAGCATTTTTAAGACGTTTAACTGACACAACACTATTAATTTTACTTGAGTAATAATTCGTCTTTTATGCGAAATACTCATTAAATGTAACAAAATCAATTATTAACTCGGCGAATCGCAAAACATATATCCCCGTATACTAACACACATTCCTTCACGACTTAATCATTTTTATCTCATAATTTCTTATTAATTACAATTTAATAAGTAATTTCTAATAAACTATTCATCTTTTCATAGCCCCCCCTTCTTATGTACCCCCAAATGTAGATTAACCCCCATACTTGTGATATCTACTGTCATGAGAGTCCCCTCCATTATACTCTCAACCTTTCATGGGAAGTGGGCCCTATGCCGTTCATCATATCCCCCCGACTGTGTACACCTGACGTCTAACTATGGCAGGGTAAACCCACATCATGTGATTTAGGGGGTATCCACCTCATATATTATACAACTACTTACTTATAATAAATTAAAGGTATTCCTTTTTAAAGAAAAAAAAAATATGTTCTACCAATACACAATTGATTTATACTTTTGCTTGTGCACTCCAGGTTTATAATTAAATACCATTATTATATATATACGTTTATTTATTTTTGCGTATTACATTACATATTATTATTTTATAATGTATAGTTTGTAATAATATATAATGAAAAATAAGTCTCATATAGCAATCACAGCTCTCCATTTCATCCCAAGTATACAGGGTGATCCATTTAACATTGACCAGCAAATATCTCAAAAACTATTTATTATTTTAATAATTTTTTTTTTTTAATTATTTTAGTTACATAAAACTATGAATAAAACTATGGACTATGTTTTATTTAACTAAAATAATTAAAAAAAAAAAATTATTAAAATAATAAATAGTTTTTGAGATATTTGCTGGTCAATGTTAAATGGATCACCCTGTAGGAGACAATGTAAGATCACCATTTTGTTATAACACCCCCACAGTGGATATGGCTTATCAACCAATCACATCTCATCAATTGTTATACTCTAGGTAGACCACGCGTCCCACCACCTCATGGGGTTAATAAGGGTGTCCCAGAAGGTCCCTTATATGCTACTTTTAATTTTCTGTAGCATTTTAAATTTTATAAAAATAAGTAACAACACAAAAATAAAATAAATATCTATGATTTTATTATATTTTAAACACGTGAAAATTGTTTTTTATACATAAAACTTTATTTTAAACTATGAATAAAAGTAAAAATAAATTTTAAGAATATTTAAATTGTTATTATTGAAATGAAAAATTGAATGCATTAACACGTTTGCCGTAATAAATTAGAGATAATTTTTCCATAGATTCATTGTATTTATCTATTTCAGCGTCTGTGAGTGAAATTATTTTAGGCAAACATAGCTGTTTATCGTTTTCTAATCTCGCTATTAATGATCGACCGTACTTGGTTTCCACAGATCTCAAAGTAGTTATCCGATTCTCTTTATTTAGTATCAGTGAAGCCATTGATACATAAACATTGTGAGAGATTGATTTAATTTTATTCAGTACAGACATTTTTTCTAGAAAAAAATAAAAATCATTATTTTAAATATTAACTATACTTATCGATAAATTAAAATATAAGATTCAAGCAATACAAAAAATGAGTAAAAATTAATTTTACTTACTTATTTCTTTTGATTTCAAAAAAACAATTAGATAAAAATTTTTGAAACTTATTTGTTGAAAAACTTGACTTTTACACGACACGCACAAAAACTGCGTTTAAACTAAAATAATATTACTGAAAATTACTTAAATATGATTTTTATCGAGAGAGGGAGTTGATATGATATTATCAACATCAGATATCATTGGTTAAAAAATCATAAACTCCCCCCAACGATAATAAACCATATATTCAATCCTTATAGCACAAATGTAATAAAATAAAATTATGTGTAATAAAATTATAAAATAGTTATTACTTTTATGGCAAACGTATATAAAATTGAAGGTTTTGATACAATACTTAAAAAATGAAATTGTCATTCATAAATAAATTTACTGGTCTACAAGAAATTTTCATCAGAGACCAAAATATACTTTTTTAAACTCGTTTTTATACCGATTTCAAATCTTCAATTAGAGTTTTGCATATGGCCTAAATAATAACAATTATTATAATTAGTATATTAAATATTTATGTTTGATTATTATGTTACGAAGGAATAATTAATAAATATATTTTAATAAATAATAAGTTGAAAAAGTTCTACTTTTGTACGCAATTTTAAGTTTTGAACCACCCCTGTATAAATGGAAATGATCCGATTTAAAAAAAGTAAGACATATAAAAGAAGTATATGAATAGTACTAATCAAAAAAAAATTGTTATGATCCATACATTTCTTAAAAATGTATATCATTATAAAGTTAAAAATTTAAAAAAATTTTTTTTTACAAAAATGTATACTTTATATTAACTTTGATGTGTGTTTCTACTATAAAAACAAAGTAAAGTCTGTATTTTTGTTTTCCATAATAAAGTATATTTATTAACTTTAATTTAAGATATATATAAAAGTGTCAGTATTTCTGGAATACTTTCAAAAATTAAGTTGAAAAAGTTATTGTTTTGAATCCCCTTCTATGGGCAGATAAAGGGTGAGATAAAAAAAAAAAATTACCAAATGATAGGTTAATATTTAATATAGCTATTAAAAAAAAATTGTATTGATCCATACATTTTCATAAAGTTATGGCAGTTTTAAGTAAAACAAATTGAAAAAAGTTAGAAAATAAGCGATTTTTAAATTTGTAATTTTTTTGGAGATTTCCCCCCATTTACGGAGAACGAGGGAAATTTTTTCAATTTTTGAGGGCAATGACTTCGACTAAATACGATTTTTAACCTTTTGAGATGTCGTTGAAAGAAATCAGTCTTGTGAGAGCTGAGAAAAAATGGTAATATACACAAAAAAAAATAAAATAAAAAAAAACACATAGTAAAGTTAATTTAGCCTTTTTGAGAAGGTCTCAGCTTTGCATCAAATCAAAAAGACTATTTTGAAATTTTTCAAACATTTTTCGTAAATTTTTTAAATTAATTTTTTTTTTATTTAATTATTGAAATGTTATTAATTACATTATTATTAGTAGTATAATATATTGACCATAAAAAAAAAAAGAAAAAATTAACTGGATCAAAATTTATTTAAGTTACCAGTGAATGCTGGGCCACTTTAGCATAATATATGACTTAATTTAATAAGTATTCCAATATTATTAAACAATCAATTATTTCCACATCAACGAATAATATGACCAATTTCATGATAGAACAATGAAATCATTTTTCAAAATGAATATGGAGACATCAAATATTAAACTGTAAAAACTACTAAAAACAAAAGTATAATTTTTAAAGTATTTGTTAGACAAAAATTCATTTAATTATTTTCTTAATAGGTTTTTATATTCATAAACATTACTTTCTTTAACTTAATTTTATATTTTATTTGCAATATGCAAAAATATTTAGATCCAGAATTAAGAGCATTTGCAGCTGCCCGATTATTAAAAACATCTATTTATATTCACTCCAATAGTGATTGGCAATTTTTCAGCAAAGATGGAATTTATGGTGAAGAAACTATCCAAACATGTTTATATATAAGTAGTTCAGACGGAGAATATTATAAAGTTGTAACGAACGTTCTTGCTTAGAGATATATGTTTTCAAATTTAACTTTGTATACGAAATTTATGTTTATTTTCCATTCATTACATAATTAATTTTCTCGTAATCTTATACAATTTTATTTTGAAAATTAAATTATAAAATTAATATTATTTTTATTTATAATTTTTTATGAATTTTCAATGACTACACAATATTTTAGTAAAAAAATATAATCACGATAAATTGATTTTGAAAAATAAACAATTGGAAATATTAAAACTTAATTCGAAAAAATATTAAAATAACTAATTTCTGCACATTCCTTTTTTCTACGCTTCAGGCATAGTTTAAAAACATCTTATGCTTACTTAAGCAAAACACGATAATAAATTTAGAAATACGTTTTTTTTTGTAGGATTATAATTCAATAACAACTAAGCCAAGTGAAATGAATGGTATACAAAATGATTCATTTATTATGATCCACTTAATTAATCGAAAAATGTATATAATATTGAGAAAAATTTTTCGGTTTCTTTTAGATACATGTTTTTCTCAATATATGTATTATGAAGTTTGTAACACCTTTTATGTTCATCTCTAACACCGTATTTATTTTTCAAACATAAATAACTAGTTCATATAATGTAATTTTTTTTTTGAAAATATATGAGATAATAATTTTATTTTTTTTTACAAATAATAATTTATTGTTGAAATACTTAATGAGAAAATCTAAATTTCTGAATTTTTCTAAATGAGAAAAATTTGTTGAAATATAAATTTACTTCTTAATTAATTCATAATAATTAATATCAAAAACCAAAAATATTTATTCCAGCCTAGTGATCATGACATTTTTCTGACAGTGTTGAGAGTTGAGAGTAATGTTAAGTTTAATAATTTTCTATTATCATGTACAACGGACATATCTAATGACGTTTATATCAAAATAGTGCACTTATCCTATCTGATCCTAAATAAAATTTAAAAATTGTAAAAAAATTTTTTTTTTTATATTGTTTAATTTCTAGTGAATTACAAATATTTCAAGTTTCAGGGATATAAAAAAATAAATATTTATTTATACATGGTGCGAACTCTATAAATTGATAAGAGCTACCGATTTTATCAGTGAAATGACATACATTAAGATGTTATGTTACATCGACAGACTATATATATTTAATATAGTCTGTGTTATAATTCCGTATTTTATATATAATAACACTTTTTTTAGATTGTCTATACACTTTAAAGAGCTGTAACTCATTGAAAATACAATAATATAAACAAAATCGTTACAAAAAAAAGGTTTGTTTCAATTGAATTAATCTGGTGATAAAAAAAATTTAAAGTTAAATATTTGAAAAAGAATTTTTTTACAATAATCTTATTTTTTTATGTACTTTGATGTTAGTTTTCACCATGAAACAAACTAAAGTCTTCAAATTTTTTTTTTCATATTAAAGTATATTACATAAGCTTTAATATAATATATGAATGTGTCAGTATTTCTGGAACACATTCAAAAATTAAGTTTAAAAAGTTCTTTTTGCTATATGCATTTTGAAGTTTTGAACACCTCTGTATAAAGGATAATGGTCCAATATAAAAAAAAAGTATGTCTCATAAAAGAAGAATATATATATATATAGTACTTATCTTAAAAAAATTATAATGATCCATACATTTTTCAAAAAGTTCTAGCGTTATTAAGTTAAAAAAAAAAAATTATTTTTTATAAAAACCATGAAAACAAAATAAAGTCCGAATTTTTTTTTTTATATTAAATTACATTATATGAGCTTTAATTTAGTATAAACAAATTTAAGATGGCAACAGACACAAATAAAATAAAATAAAAAAACACGCCATAGTAAAATCAATACCTCTCAGCTTCGCATCGAAGATACAATTTAAAAACTCGATTTTTTTTAGACTACAAAGATTGAAAAAAAATTAGCAGTTATGTTTAAATACAAAATAGTTTAAATAAAAATGTTTTTTTTATTTTTATGCCTACATAGCTAATTAATATAAATGTCATAAATATTAAATGACATTATTATTTTCAATTATCACTTGGTAATAGGTGATAATTGAAATAATGAAATTAAGCAAAATTTTATTAATAGTTTGGATAATATAAATGTAATAAAATACGTATATAATCGAAAAATTATTTTATTAAAAGACAATTAAATTCTGTGGTATAACTCAATAAAAATCAAAACTATTGATTATTAACTCAGTAAATAAAGGAAAACTTGAAAATAAAAACTTATATAGCAACATTTATTTATTTAGCTGCTTGTGCGAAACTCAGAAAAATGTAATATTAAAACTATATAAAGATAGATATTAAATGCTTACTTCTAATTTAGTTTAACTATTTTTCGTTACTCCTAACAATATTAATAACATAATGGTGATATTCTCTACACGCAGTTATGTTAACTTATGGGTTTTATTCTATTTATTTCTTGAAATTCGATGTTCTGGAGTTATTTTGGTAAGAATTAAACGTATATATTATGATACAGGTGGTCGCTCTGAAAAATATATAACAGATGTTTGTCACTCACAAGCTTAATTTAATTATTTAATTTATATTTTTTAATATAAGTGAATGCTACCAAACTTTAATTTAAAAAAAGTCCCACAAATTTAGTAAAATTATTTTTTTGTCAACATCCCCCATATTTTAAGTTTCCGGACGACCACGGAAAACGGGATATTTAATTAGATCTTTAAAGTAAAAAAAGTTTTTATTTTTATCTTATTAATTGCGTTGCTAACAATCTAAGTACTTGATGCATTTAAAAACATATATTTGAAAGATCTTTACAACTTAACTTTTACAGATATTTCATTAAAACAATACTAAAATACTATAAATTTAAAATTATATTAATGACTTAAGAAGGGACGAAAAATAATATTAAGTTTGTAATGTACTAACAGTAGGGAAATATAAGGTATGAAATATTCCAAAATTAATAAAATATTTCCAGAAAATACAAATATAGAAATCGCTAATTTTCGACATTTTAACAATTTTTTTTACTTAAAATTGCCATAACTTTTTTAAAAATGACCAAATCAATATAATTTTTTTTTATAGATACCTTAGGTATTTACATATCATTTAATATATTTTTGTTATAAATCTGACCCTTTACCTGACCACAGAAGGGATTCAAAATGACAACATTTTCAAATTAACATTTGAAAGTTTTCCGGAAATTCTGACACTCTTATATATACCATAAATTAAAGCTTATGTAATATACTTTATATTGAAAAAAAAAANACAGGGTGATTTTTTTATCATAACCCTCTCAATTACTTACAGAATAATAATAATTTAAAAAATTTTTTTTATTCTTATCTTTAGTTACACATTATTCTTGAATTATTAACTATGTAATACTTTTTAAGTTCATCCCTTATGCCTGGTAAGGGTGTCAACTTTGTTTTTTTAAATGGTAACACATATTTTTAATTTAATAAAATGTTTGAGTTTTTAATTCAATAGTAAATGGCATTTGAATTTTTAATAAAACTTAATTTGTTTATTAGATATAAACATTTAAAGTTTCAAATTTTTGAGTTAATATATAGGTATAATACACAAGGGATTACAAATACAGGTAGCTAATTGGTTTTTTATGATATTGCTATCACAGTCACGGATTGTTTATTATCAATTATGACTATCAATAGATATACTTTTTGTATTGTCAGTTAGTGTATTTATAAACTCACAACAATGTACCTTACTATCATTGATAATAACAATGCTGTGTACCTGCTAATATCGATGTCATAAAAAACCAATTAGCTACCTGTATTTGTAATCCCTTGTGTATTATACCTATATATTAACTCAAAAATTTGAAACTTTAAATGTTTATATCTAATAAACAAATTAAGTTTTATTAAAAATTCAAATGCCATTTACTATTGAATTAAAAACTCAAACATTTTATTAAATTAAAAATATGTGTTACCATTTAAAAAAACAAAGTTGACACCCTTACCAGGCATAAGGGATGAACTTAAAAAGTATTACATAGTTAATAATTCAAGAATAATGTGTAACTAAAGATAAGAATAAAAAAAAAATTTTAAATTATTATTATTCTGTAAGTAATTGAGTGGGTTATGATAAAAAAATCACCCTGTATACCATAAATTAAAGCTTATGTAATATACTTTATATTGAAAAAAAAAAATTTGACCTCTGAACCCAAACCAACCATTTTCCTTTATACATGAGGGATTCAAAACTTAAAAATGCATATAGAAAGTAGAACTTTTTTAACTTAATTTTTGAATGAGTTCCAGAAATACTGACACTTTTATATATATCTTAAATTAAAGAGAAAAATTTCAGATTTTCTATGTTTCATGGTGAAAACTAACATCAAAGTTAATAAAAAAAAATACGGGTTTTGTAAAAAAATTCTTTTTTTTATTTTTATTTTATAATGCTATAACTTTTTGAAAAATATATGGATCAATACAATTTTTTAATGATAAATACTATTTATATACCTCTTTCATTCGACATACCTTTTTTTTAAATAAAACTATTTCCTTTTATATATTTATATATTATACTTATAAATCATAAAACTTGTAATCAGGATATAAATAAGGAAATAAGAGATCATGTTGCTTTTGGAATAAAATGCCAGGAGTCCACTTTGCTGGGTTTTTTTATTATACTTCAATCAGTTATAACTCTTTAAAATACAATATATCATATTTTTACACTCAAAAATTAGCTATTTATCGTCCTCTTAATAACTTACAAATTAAGAAATATATGATAATAAAAATATCAAAAAAAAATTTGACCTCTAGACTTGTCTGTATGGTGAAAATGGTGGATGAATACAAGTAAATTTTTTTTTTTTAATACCTTAGGTTATTCCCTTTATTAAGTATATATTTTTTTCAAAATCTAACCCTTTACCTGCACACAAAAGTAACTCAATACATATGTATAAAAAGTCTAACTTTTAAACTTAACTTTTGAAAATGTTCTGGAAATAATTCATCCTTTAAATATATGTTATATTAATTTTTATGTTACATTCTATTAATTAAAAAAAATTATCCCGACAATATAACTTCTATATGTAAAAGGCCTTCGACGTTAAGCAAAACATGTTATTTTTACTTATAAAATTTCATCGTTTTTTCTATTTTTATAGTTCTTCTTTTTTTTCTCCATTCAGCGTATTTTAATGCGTTTACTTTAAGTAAAACAATATAGGCATATAGAAAAAGAATGTTAGTACCTCTTTTTAAACTCTCACCTTTTTCAAAAAATAAGGTTTAAGTGTTAATTATAAATATTTTTGAGAAGGCTTTTTGCAGCTTTTAAAGTTCATTTAATAAATATATTTTAAAAAAAGGTATTTCTTTTTCAAAGAAAATGGGTAGAATTATATAATAATAATCTCATACTAATTTAATAGCTATAATAAATATTTAATCATATATTATACTTCTAAATCAAAAAACTACTAATCAGAAATAATAAAGGAGATTGGAATTTATTTTGATTTTTGTATAGTCCACCAATTTTTTAAAATTTAACACTATCTACAGATTTGCATCGAAGCGATCTTACTGTGCTACCGTTTTTTATTTCAATTTTAATTGTTTATTCTGATTTAAATTAGAACGAACAATATTTTTTTATTTTACACTATATTTCCTTTAACAATAAATTATTTAAATAGGTTTGTTTACCTAAATGCTTTTTCATACAAACCTGGTTCATCGACCGCAGTAAAACAAAGTAATCTTAATAGATTAGCTAAAATATTATTTTTTTCTTAAATTATTCTTATACATTTATCAATAATATCACGATTCTATTGAAGAGAACATTAAATGCTTTTATGTGTAGTAATAGCAATATTTATACACCAAAATTATGTATTCATTTTATTATTCATATTATCATATTATTGACAAAAAATATTGTAAACTTAGATCATAATAATTAACATAACATTAAAAAAATATTATCTGGAAAAACGCTATTGATGCTGATATTAAAATACTCATATTAAAAAAATATATATAAAAAGAAGGGTAAAACTAATTGTAACCCATTTTCTCTTTCTAACCATCGTAACCAAAAGATAGTCAAGATTATTAGTGTAAAAAGAGGCTTTTCCAAAAAAAAAGTAAAAAAAATTGTGTTATAAGACTCACGAAAAAATAAACAACTTATTAAATATAAATTTTAAACATTACTTTATATATTACAATGTATAAATATTGTAGTATATAAATATATGCTATAATATAAACTACATTAATAATAAATCCTCAAATCACAGACTCCGATTTTAAAAGTAACTCTAAAATAAATAAAAAACTACGTTACACTCAACGCAATTATTAATAAAACAACATTTAACTTATTTTGTCCCATTTATTAAATTCATATGAAAATAAGAAGCAAAGGAAAAATTACTTTTTTGAATTTATTAATTAAAAGAATAAAGGGTACTAACTTTTGCAATTTATCGGAAAAACACAGACATGTCCAGGTGTATTCCGAACCACATCTGGCAACACAAAATGGCAGCTTTTAATAGTATCGTTAACAGAATTATTAATATTCCGATTAATAAAATAGATATTAATAAAGATCAAGAGGTTATATAAAAAATAGCTAGATTTAATGGGTATGTCAAAAACGTAAACTCAAAATTAGTCTGAACACAAAAGTGGAATGGAAAAAGAACAGCTAGTACACTTATTAGCGTGGGAGAACAAAAACTAATTAGATCACCCATTTTATATTTTTAATAATAAATATTTATAAATATTATTTTTATTTTTCTACTAAATAATTGGTCTAAAATAAAATAAAATAGCATAATTATTATGCTATGTGTTTATATAACAAATTTGAACGAACTTGGATTCTTTTAAAATGACTTAAACAAAATTTATAAATGGATATAAACCCGGGTTCTTTTCATAACATAACATGTGCTTTATGGTGTAATTTTTTATCATTATTTTAAATATAGAGACCTGAATTAGGAGAAAATCGTCATTTCATACCAGTGAACTATCAATGGCAAGTTTTAAAAGCTCAACAATTAGACGTCCAAGTGTACTCAAGCAGTGTAAAGGGAGAACAATTTAAAGTTTTGACTAAACCCAAAAAAATAAAAAATATAAAAGGAGATGGAAATTGTTTCTTTAACGCGATATCATATTGGATTACAGGCGCTCAACATGATGGTGGTTTGATGCGTTTATTAATTGTTTATGTAATTAAAAAATATTTAAAATCGAATTGATAGTGTACAATATAAATAAATTGATTAATAATGTTGTAAAAATTTTAGTCAATGAAAATGTCAGAAAGGTTTCAAACGATGTTGTCTGAATGGGAGCGAAATTTACGCGTACAGGAAATGTTAAAATATAGTACGTATAATTTCTGAAATTACTTAATTTCAGGTTTTTTTATATAGAATTAATAGTAATTATTTAGCTTTGTTATAAACATCTCCCTAATACCCAAAATTAATATTTGATAAATATTTATAATATTTTAACATTATTACAAATAAGATATATAATGAATAATGTTTATTTAATAATATATATTAAACAGAAAAGTTCATTTTCCCTGTGAATAGGGAATAAGAATACTTCCACGGCCCCTCTGCCACTCGTAAAAGGCGACTTATGAGGTTGCGTTAGATCAACAGCCAGTATAAAATTTTTTGTCCAATAGTATAAGGTGTCCTGAACAAAACTTAGGCGAATTGTCCCATCTCGGATGTACGGGCGAGAAGGAATAATGTAGTTAAAAACAAAGGATATAATTGAGTACATGGAGGGTATGATTTTAGTAGGAAGAATGAAGTTAGGGAAAGAATCCTAGATTTCGCAGTATCGTATGAACTTGCTATAGTTAATGCTTATTTTAGAAAGAGGGGAGAACATTATATAACTTAAAAGAGTGAGAGGAATAGATCACAGATTGATTATTTTATGACAAAGAGAGACAGCGTAAAACGAATAAATGATTGTAAAGTTATACCAGGCGACAGTGTAACTTCACAACATAGACCGATGGTAATAGAAGTATGGTGAACCGGACAGAGAAAATACAAAAATAGAAGGAACACGGGGGGAAATCGAAGATCCGCTGGTGGAAAATTAAAGGGGAAAATGAAAAATAGTTTGTACAGACGGTATAGAAAGGACGATGTGGAATGTTGAGGGGGATATAAATGATATGTGGAATAGATTTGCTAGTTGTGTAAAAAATACTGCAAAGGAGAATATTGGAGAGAGTAGGAGTAGAATAACAGGAAACAAGGAAACCTGGTGGTGGGAGAAGGATGTTCAAAGAATCATAGAGAGTAAGAAAAAGCATTTCAAGTATGACAGAAGAGCAAATATAGAGAATATTGTATAGAGTATAAACGTATGTGCAAAGAAGCCAAGTGTGCAGTAAATAAGGCGAATTTTATGAAGTTTGATGAGTTGTATGATAGGCTACGAACAAATGAAGGCGAGAAAGAAATCTATAGACTTGCAAAAGTAAGAGAGAAAAGGTCTAAAGATTATCATTATATAAGGTGTATAAAAAGTATTGATAATAACGTACTCTCGAGTGATGATGATGTGAAAAAAAGTGGAAAGAGTATTTTGAAAAATTATTGAATGAGGAGTACACAAAAGAAACATTAGAGGACATCTCGTGAAATAAGGGACTGGTAGATTTAAATAGTCAGAAAGAGGTATAAGAAGCTGTGACATTAATGAAAAAGAATAAAGCAGTAGGACCAGATGAAGTGCCAGTAGAAGTATGGAAAATATTAGGAAGGGCTGACATAAGGTGGTTGAATGAAGTTTTAAATAAATTCTTATTAGAAAGGAAAATTATCAAATGAATGGAGGAATAGTATTGTAGTGTCGATATATAAAAGTAAATGTGAAATATAGGAGTGTGGAAATTATAGAAGCATAAAGCTTATGAGTCATAGTATGAAAATTGGGAAAAGGTAATATATAAGAGAATAAAAAATGAGACATCGGTATCTGAAACTAGTTTGGATTTATGCCTGGTAAGTCAACAATGGAGCCAGTATTTTGTGTGAGGCAATTAAATAGAAAAGTTTAGGGAAAAGAAAAATAAGCAGTGTATGGTATTTATAGATTTGGAGAAGCGTATGATAGAGTACCGAGAGAGGTTTTAAAGTGGTCATTAATGAAAAAAGGAGTCCCGAAAAAGTACATTAATATAATAGAAGATATGTATGAAGGCACTTGTACAAGTAAGTAGGACTGCACCAATGTTCTGTTTTAAGCCTTTACTTATTCTCTATATTGATGGATGAAATTGCTAGAAAAATACAAGGAGAGGTGCCAAAATGCATGTTGTTTGCTGACGATATAGTGTTAATAGAAGAAAATAGGGAGGAAATTAATCAAGGACTAGAGGTGTGGAGATCAGCTCTTGAAGAAAAGAGTTTAAGTATAAGTAAAAGTAAGACAGAGTATATAGAGTACGAGTTTGACAGAAGACAACACGAGGTAGGTGAAATGAGGAGGTCAGTGACAATAGGCGACGACGTGATCGAAGAGGTAGAAAGTTAAAGAAAGTAGAGCAGAAAATGAGTGTAGCAGAGATTAGAATGCTTAAATAGATGAGTGGAGTGGCTGACCCCAAGTAGTTGGGATTAAGGCGAAGAAGAAGATTAAACAGAAATGTTAAATAATATTAGACAAGAATGTATTTAGCCAATTTACCAATACTATTCTCAACCAAATACTTATTTTATTAATTCTTGTATTTCTTTGCGCTGGGCTTTGTAGGTTTTTCCATTCTCTCTAACACAAGCATAGCTATTGATAGAGGAAGATTAAGATTAATAGAGTAATAATAATAATAAAAAAAACCCAGCACAGGGGGGTTGTGGCACAGTGGTGACGTGGCATAGTTGGATCAAGTATAATGATATCTGACAGTGATTAACATCACTATCATAAAAAACGTTTCGATGCAAATCTATAGAAGGTAATTAATTTTAAAAAATTGGTGTATTATTCCAAAAGCTACATGATCTGCTAGTTCCTTATTAATATCCTGATTAAGATAAAGTATGTCGAACGAAAAAGGGATTATTAAAAAATATTATTTCTCATAAAAAAATTGTATTGATCCATATATTTTTCAAAAAGTTATAGCATAATAAAGTTAAAAATGTAAAAAATAATATCGAGAATTTTCATACAAAAATAGCATTCGGTAGCCATTTTCACCACNACAAAAATAGCATTCGATAGCCATTTTCACCACGAAGACAAGTCCAGAGGTCAAATTATTTTTTTTTAAATTAAAGTATATTACATTATCTTTAATTTAAGATATATATAAAAGTGTCAAACCTTCCGGAACATTTTCAAAAGTTAAGTTGAAAAAGTTAATTTTTTGTAAAAAAGTTGTCATTTTAAATACCCCCTGTGGGCAAGGTAAGTGTCAGATTTATAAAAAATATATACCAAATGATAGATAAAGACAACAAGCATCTATAAAAAATATATATATATTGATATGTTCATTTTTAAAAAAGTTACGGCAGTTTTTAGTAAAAAAAATTGAAAAAATTTCGAAAATTAGCGATTTTTAAATTTGTAATTTTTTTGGAGGTTTCCCCCATTTACGGGGAACGAGGGAAATTTTTTCAATTTTGAAGGGTAATGTCTTCGACTAGATACGATTTGTGATCTTTTGACGTATCNGGAAATTTTTTCAATTTTTGATGGTAATGTCTTCGACTAGATACGATTTGTGATTTTTTGACGTATCGTTGAAAGAAATCCGTTCGGTGAGAGCTGAGAAAAAGTGGTAACAGACACAAAAAAAAAAATAAATAATAAAAAAAATAAACACATCTTAGTAAAACCAATACCTTCTCAGCTTCGCATCGAAGCTAAAATAGTAATTGAAGTGTTTCAATTTTTTGGTAAAACTGTTTAAAATTACAACATATAATTGAAGTATTTTTTTTTTAGCGACTTATGCTGAATGTCATGAATTGTTTGCGGCAGCAGAATTTTTGCAAACATCTCTTTATGTATACTCTGAAGATGCTTGGCATTTTATAAGCAAAAACGGAATAGGCTCCGAAGAAATACTAGAACCATGTATTTATATGCACCATGTAAACAATAATCATTATGAAGTCATATTAGATGTGGTAAATATATTTATTAGCAATTAATTCAAAGTCTCATGTTTAAAAACATTACTGTTGTTAATTTAACTTTGTGTTAATAGTCTTAAGTAATATATCACATGTAAGTCATGACATTTTCGCTATATATTTTGAGTTTATTGTTTGATCGAAATTTAATAAGAATTATATTGTTTCGTGGAAATTATGTATTTTTTTTATTTTTTATTTGTCTAAAATAACATACTATGTGTTTGTTAAGGATGATGAACCAAGAATAATTGAAAAACAACAACCACCAATAAAAGTAAATATAAAATATAAAAATCATACTAATATGTAACAAAAACAAAAGCTAAAAATCGTAAAAATGTATTCCCTTAATTAAGAGTAGTTTTATTATTACGAATAACGAACATAAAATGTATGTATGTGTAATTAAAAATCAGTATTACTTCTTCTTTGATATAATAATTTTAAAAAAGAGTAATTTATTTAGCTTTTAAATTGAAACAATCTAGAACAATAATTATTGTTATGTGTAGACGTAGGGTAAAAGCAGATATCATGCACATATTTATTCCATAACCGTTTAATATGAACTAAAACATTTACAATAACAATATCACCTATACCCCTGTACAGGTGAGTGATCAGTGTGACCACTGGTACATCACACCTTCCCCCGTTTTGTAAAAATTACAATATATATAAAAATATGATAATATACTATACAATATAACTCTAGAACAAGGAATTAATCCACTAATATTTAAATAAATAATTAACTCAAAACTACATAATGTTTTAACAAAATAATAACATAATAATATAAACATGATAACAAACTAATCTATATCTACTTTCTGGTAATTTTTAATTTACAGATTATCACTACAATTATAACTAAACAAATTACAATATTCATTTAAACATAAGGAACTTTAATAATCTATAAATTCATTCTTTTTGGTACTTTCCTAGTTCTCTCTGAACGCCTTACTTCTGTTTCCTCTTATCTTTCCTTCCTTTTTCTATTTTTTTTTATCTTACTAGGCAAATTTATATTTTCAGGTAACAACATTTATTAACTCTTTATCTTTCAATTTAGGATATCTTAATTGATTTGATGAGCTGTTTTAAAATTGCCCCTTAACTCTATCAAATACACATATTTGCTGATCCTCTTTTTAACCAACGCAGGGAACCATTTAATTGCTTCCTTATAATGGTTTCTATAATATACCTTCTCTCCACCTTTAAATTGCTTGACTGGTTTGTATTCACTTACATAATACTTGTTTTTACTTAACTCAAAGCTCACCCTTTTTTTATTTTTAACACTTTCACTCTTAGGATTTAATGAACTAACTGGTGTTTTTATTTTATAAGCTAAAATATTGTCTTTAGGTGATCTACCTGTTACTGTTGACGGCATTGCATTATATGCAAAACACTTTTGAAATACTTTAATTAAATCTATACAACGTGTTTTCTTCATAAGCTTAACTTCAATGAATTTACTAAATGCATCTACAATTATTAAAAAAGTGTATTTTTCAAAATAGAAAAAATCAATATGTACCCTTTCAAAAGGATACTTTGCTGCTTTCCATTTAGATTTAACAATTTCCTTAGGTATCCTAAGTAACTGATTACATATTGTACAACTAGTCACATAACTCTCAATATCTTTATTCATATCTCTCCACCAAAACAAACTCCTAACATTTTAATTCTTACAATACCTTCATGGTCCTTATGTAATAATTCTAACACTTTATTTTGTAATATTTTAGGAATAATTAACCTTTCTTCAAAAAATAAACAATCACTTTCTGTATTTAATTTATTTTTTATTTTAAGATAATACTTTAGATTTTGATTTACCTCCTTAGGCCATCCTAACATAACATACTCATAAATTGTACATAATTCTTTATCCTCTTTCAAACATTTTTTTACCTCCTCTAAATTTATTTCTACCTCATTTATTATACTAAATCTATTTATTTCTTCTTCATCTATATTAACTTGACTATCTAAAGGTAACCTCGATAATGCATCCGCATGTGTCATATTCTTACTTGGCCTGTATTGAAAAGTATATTCATACATGGATAACATCACTGCCCATCTCTATAACCTAGAAACAGCAACTACCGATGTCCCTTTCTGAGGACTAAATATCTCTTTTAAAGCTTGGGAATCCGAGCATAATATAAATTTATTTCCGTAAATGTATTTGAGAAATTTTTTAATAGCAAAAATAATAGCTAAAGCCTCTCTATGAAGTTGCGAATATTTTTGCTCAGCTCCAGATAATGTACTTGACACAAACATTACTGGCTTTTCTACTCCATCCACTACATGTGCCAACACTGCTCCTACTCCATAGAGAGATCCATCTGCACATATCACTATTTTCTTATTTGGATCATACTTTTCTAACATTTGATTTCCTAGTAACAGTTCTTTGCTCCTCTCAAACGCTACATTTTGGCTCTCTGTCCACACAAATTTTTCACCTTTCCTTAACAACTTATGTAACTCCTTCAGTTCACCACTTAAGTTAGGTAAAAATCTATTATAATAATTTAACAATCCTAAATATGCTTTTAGCTCTGTTATATATTATTAGGCGCTCTCGCATTCTTAATAGCATCTACTTTGTGTTTTTGAGGACTTATACCCTTTGCTGTCAGTGTGTGTCCTAGATAATCTACACTATCTTTAAAAAATTTGCATTTATTTACATTTATTTTCACATTGTAATCGTTTAACCTTTCTAATACTAGTTTTAATTTATTTTGACATTTTTCCTCATTTTCTTCCCCAATCAGAATATCATCCAAATAGCAAAATACATTTTCAATTCCTAATAATATTTGGTCCATAATACTTTGAAATATAGCTGGTGCGCTTGCTACCCCGTATGTTAATCTAGTATATCTATATAAACCCTTTAATGTGTTAATGGTTAAGAATCTTTTTGAATTTTCTGTTAATTGTAACTGTTGGTAAGCCCCAGATAGATCAATAACACAAAATACCGCACTATTCGCCATAACATATCTTCCACTTTTGGTAGTGGGTAATGCTCTGTCTGAATAAATTTGTTTATAGTCATTTTACAATCCATAAATATCCTAATATCACCATTTTGTTTAGGTACAATTACTATGGGACTAGCCCACTCACTATATTTAACCGGCTCTAAAATTTTTAACCTAACTAACCTTTCTAATTCTACATTTACTTTATCTCTTAATTTATACGGTACTGAATATGCCTTGCAAAAGATTGGTTTAGCCTCCACTTTTAATATTATTTCTGCTTGGTATTTCTTAATTATCTGATTCGGACAAACACTTAACACCTGAGGATACTTTTTTTTTATCAATTCCATAACGCTATATTTTTCTATATTCGTATTTACTTTTGCAATCACCCGGTTACTTTCTACCATTTTTCTCCAATTTGGAAATAAGACATCTAACCATGATCTTCCTAATAATGGATACATTTGTCTCTTATTTTCTTACTATATACAACTCCAGTTCCCTTTCCTTTGCTGAACTATCACTATTTTTTACATTGACTATTATTTTAGCAATTATATCTAACTTATCTCCAGTTACTGAAACCAGTTTAACTTTTACTTCTATTAAAGTTTTACATTTAAAAAGTTTATAACATAATTTGTCACTAATTACCGATGTACAAGCACCTGAATCGACTTCCATTTCTAATTTGTTATCTTCCACAATCATAACTACTTTCAGTGACGGTTCAACTGCTTTAACCACCTTGACAACACTTTGACTTTCTTCCATAATGCAATTCATTTGTTCAATTTCTATGGACAATCCCTGAATTGAACTTTGATTTGAGGATAATGAACTACTTCTTCTTTGATACCTCCCTTTAGAACGTGACTGTCTTACCATTCTTTTTGTAAAACAAAACTTGGCTATGTGGCCTGGTTTGCCACATTTATGACAATTCAATTTTAAAGCTGCGCACTCTTTATTGTTATAATGTTATTTACCACATCTTGTACAAGTCTGACTTCCCCGACTTTTACTTCTGTACCTTTGCTTATTACTATTATTGACTTTGGAACTAAGTGCTGATTGCTTAATTGCAAATTGATTCAATGACTTGTCACGGCATTCACCCTCAGCCAATTCCCAATTTAATGCTAATTCAGAAGCATTTTCAAAAGTTAGATTTTTTTCTTTGAGCAAAATGGCCCTTAACTTGTTGTCTCTAACTCCAAACACCAATCTATCCCTTAGTGCTTCTTGCAAGAAATTTTTAAATTTACACTTCTGTGCTCTTGCCTTCAATTCCACAATATACTCAGTCATTGGTTGGCCTATACGTTGACCTTCCTGATGAAATTTATATCTTTCCGGAATCTCATTTACTTCAGGTGTATAATGCTTCTTTAGTATCTCTACTAACTCGTTGTAGGATTTTGTTGTTGGATTTTGCGGCACCATTATTTTTTTTAACGTGGAATAAGAGTCATGACCAATCAAGGTTAGTAAAAATGCCACCTTCTTTTCTTCTTTTATTTCGTTTAAAACGAAATATTGCTCCATTCGTTCCACATACTCGCAAAAATCATCTCCTGGCACAAACGCTTCAATTTGACCAATCATTCTCTGTTGCGGCAAGTTATGTGATTATGTTCAATTTGCGGCCCGAATGGAACCGGTTACATATATTAAGTGGGGATGCCGTTCGCTGTCCGGTAAGTCGTCGCCTTATCTAGTTAGTCAACCATTGCATGGTCTAGTGATTAGACCCATCGGCGCCGCCACGAGTTTTTCCGCGACTTGCGGTATTGTAATGTAAAGGTGAATTCCGTGGATTTACCGGGCGCGTGATCATTATAGTTTATTCGTGTTTTGTCTCATTCAAGCGATTGAAGTTGGTTAAATATAACAGTATAATCCAATCCTTGATATCAGCCCAGGTCAGATTACTGTATTCTATAGCGCTTAAAATTTATATTTGTACTTATTTTTATTAAACTGTATTGTTTATTTGTCATTATGAATGTAAGTGGGGACGCCCACCCATAAAGTTTATTATTAATTAAACCAACATTATTATTATAGACAAATTCCTTTCGAGTTTCTTATTTAATAATTTATTGGGGTTTCCTTGAATTCATATCCTAAGTCAATCAGGCCAACCGAGATTTAGGAGCCTGTAGACGAACANTCCTTGAATTCATATCCTAAGTCAATCAGGCCAACCGAGATTTAGGAGCCTGTGGACGAACATTTGGTATCCAGAGCGTGGTTTGCTTAAATTTAAATAATATATTGAATTCAGTTAAAAGTGCAATTTTGGGCCCAGCGAGCTTTAGCTATTTTAATGTTATAGCACATAAGATAATTGTGTGTCTTTTCTGTTTTGACCGTACCTCCATGCTAGAAGATTAATATATTTACATACATTTTTTAGCAAGTACTTTGTTATTAGAAATTAGATTTAATACTAATTCTATTTATCGTAAGATTAATATTTAATTCCAGTTATTAGAATTAATATTAAGGGAGATTGCGTATGCAGATTTGTTATTATTATATTATATTTAAGATTAGTTGTTTTTTAACTTATATTTATTTTGAAGTTGGTTTCTGTTTTTTATGGGTAATTTATAACCGTTTTACATTTTTTCAGTTACATTTCTATACATTTCTTAAAATTGAATACATTTTATGATATTAATAGTGCTGCTTATAGTTGTTTAATATTTATACAGAATTTTATTGATAAATGTGTAATTTAAATAAGCACGGCACAACAGTTTAATTTTATTATTAGTGTTTTTAATTATTGCTGGTGCGTTGGATAATATTCATAAATTTAAAATATAAAATATATAGTGTTAATTTTCTATTACTACTTGTTGCAGTTGATTTAATTTTTAAGTAATTATATTGTGCGTTTGGTTTTTTTAGTATTAGTATTTTGCAGTGGTTAATAAAACATATATATATTTATTTAAAAATCCATATTTAAGTAGTATTGGTTTGCCTTGTGTCTGCTAAAATTTATTAATGTTAGCTAAGAAAGGGTTCATTTAGTGATTGTTGTTTCATTTAAAAGATTTTTTTACAATAATTGTTTTATTGGAATTCATTAAATATTTTATTGCCTTTCCGTCAATTAAGAGAAAATGTCCAATACTGATGAGCGTGACGTTAGATACCTACAGCGAATTAAAAAGGCTGCGTTGTTTGTTCGTGAAAGCACCATCAATCGCATTAAATCTATACATGAAATGTCTGTTCGCGTTGTTGAGTCTCCTGAGCTGTTACCTGATTTTCTAATATCTGTGAAGGATTTAGACCCATTATGGGAAACATTTTTAGCAAATAATCAAGCCGTACTTGAGGCCTTGTCGGATTTAGATTTGCTCGATGAATTTTCTTTAAATTTAGAAACTGATACTCGCGCATTATGCATAAGAGCATTAGCTACTGCAGATAAATATAAACCTACCTTGCCACGTCAATCACTATCTAATATTAACGATGATGGTAATGAGTCTGTAATTTCCAATAAGTCCGGCATCAATAGTGGGATGCGGTCACGTTTGCCTGAGATACCCCTCCCCTCCTACAGTGGTAGCTTTTCGGATTGGCCGGTCTTTCGTGATAGATTTAAGGCACTGATAGCTCAGCGTACGGATTTGTCCAATATTGAGCGATTTTATTATTTGTTGGGATGTCTAAAAGGTGAAGCACTTAATAGTATTCGCAACATTGTTGTATCCGAGACCACCTATGAACTAGCCTGGTCAACATTAGTCGATAGATTTGACAGACCTCGACAGCTAGCCACTTTAATTGTGGACAAGTTAATATCAATTCCGGCACAGTCACAGGAGTCTTTGGAGGGCTTAAAAGATTTTTTGGTATTATTTTCGGATCAGATAGAAGTATTGGAGTCATTGCAAATACCTAACCTTGGAGAATTTCTATTATTTGCTCTGTCGTCCCGATGCTTACCATTATCCACCCGCAAAGTTTTTGAAGCGGTTAATTCTGAAGAATTTCCTGCTGCCTCTGACGTAATAAAGTATGTAAAGGGGCGGGTATCTATTTTAGAGGCTGTCAGCTTTTCTGGTAGTTCACGTCGATCGACAGTTCAACGCGACAACATGAAACCATCAACTTTCCGAAATATAGATAAGCGACCCAAGTTTGCTTTAGTCGCTGCCAAATCTTCTAGTGCTCCTATCTATAATTGTGTTTTTTGTAATGGGTCACATGGACCATCTAAGTGTCGAATGTTTCAATCGGCTTCGGTAGAAGATCGTAACACTATGGTACGAGAGAAGAAGATTTGTTTTAGTTGTTTAAGTAGCTCACATTGGAGCAACCGTTGTAAGGAGCGCCGACCTTGTAAACACTGTCCTAGGATGCACCATAGTCTTCTTCACGTAGATAAATCAGATGGTGAGACCCTATCTAATGTGGACGGAGTACCTGTAAGCAACACTTCGGTAATGAGTACCCGTCCAAGACATACCGTCTTATTAGGTACTGCACTAGCTCACATCAAAGACCGTGCAGGTATCTTTCAGACTGTTCGAGTTTTAATAGACTCAGCTTCACAAATTAGTGNCAAATTTTAATAGATTCAGCTTCACAAATTAGTGCAGTAACCAGTAGCTGTGTAAATCGTTTAGGATTGTCAAAGAGAAAATGGACAGCGCCCATTTTAGGTCTTGCTGGAGCTAAGGTACCTCTGGTTGAAGGAGTTGTCGACTGTCGACTCACTCCCCGGTATGCTCCACAACACGAATTACATGTAAATGCTTGGGTATTACCTAAAATTACGGCAGACATGCCCAATAGAAGTCTTTCTATTGACATAAAGTGCCAGTTTGCACACCTCGCACTGGCTGACCCCACATTCGATCAGCCAGCGCCAATTGATATGTTAGTGGGCGCGGACATGTTTGCCCAGGTAATGGACGGTAAACGCATCGAAATAAACCGTCAATTACCAGTAGCTTACGGCTCTATATTCGGTTGGGTCTTAATTGGCGGGGTAGGAATACCCACGGACGATTCTTCCCATGTTGTACTTTCGTCATTAATGACATCGCTGGAAGATCTATTAGAAAGATTCTGGGAAATAGAAGAACCAGGACTTAATGAAGATGATGTAACTGAAGAAGGAAGAAGTGAACTAATGTTTCGAAGCCTAACGACCAGAGATAGTCATGGACGGTTCATAGTGCCCTTGCCATTTCGCAAAAACGCGTGCTGTGACAGACTATCGGGCTCACTGCAGGTAGCTACTCGGCGATTTGAAAACTTAGAAAGGAAATTAAAGAATGACTCTCAGTTATACGGCGCTTATAGGGAGTTCATGAAGGAATATGAGACACTCGGTCACATGACGCCAGCTCCAGTGTCCGGAAATTATTTCATTCCACATCACCCGATTATTAAACAAATTGGTGATCAAATTAAACTCCGAGTGGTTTTTGATGCTTCGGCTAGGGCACCTGGGGGTTGTTCACTAAATGATTGCCTCATGTCTGGACCTAAACTGCAGTCCGATATAACGGATGTATTACTTAACTTTCGCCTGTACCAGCACGTCTTCGTAGCTGATATTTGCAAGATGTATCGCCAAGTGCTAATCCAGCCCGAACACCGACAGTACCAGCACATATTATGGCGTGACGTTTCGACTGATCAACTCCGTGAATATCAGTTAAATACGGTTACTTATGGAGTCAATGCTGCACCATACTTGGCCATACGTGTATTACATCAAATAGCCAGCGACGATGCTAAAGGATATCCCAGAGTCCAACATGCTCTGCGTCGTCAAACATACGTGGACGACTTATGTGTGGGAGCGGACACTATGGAAGCTTTGATTAGTCTTCAAGAGGAGGTAAGAACTGTTCTTGCTAAATGTGGTATGGAATTGAAGAAGTGGTGCAGCAACACACAGTCAATTCTTGATCACGTACCTGTTGAGAATAGAGCACAAGAGTCGTTGCAGTTCGAGGTAAATAAGGATTCAATCATTAAGGTCCTGGGATTAGTATGGAATGCTGTGGATGACCATTTCAGCTTCAACGTGTTGCTCGACTCTCGCATTTTTACCAAGCGTGGCGTACTTTCGGTTATAGCTCGTATTTTTGACCCGCTAGGATTGCTAGCTCCAGTAATTTTTACTGCTAAGTGTCTTATGCAAGAAATCTGGCGAGCTACCACAACGTGGGATGATCCATTGCCTGAGAGAATCATGACAATATGGACTAAGTTTATTGATCAATTACCACGACTGTCAGAATTGAGCATACCACGTTTTATTGGTACTAAAACTAGCAGCAAGGTCCAGTTGTGTGGGTTCTGCGATGCGTCCAACAAAGGATATGCAGCATTGGTATATTTACGGTTTCTGGCCACAGATGGTACTATGACTATACATCTACTGGGCGGTAAGACAAAGGTAGCACCTATAAAGACTATGACCATTCCTAGATTGGAGTTGTCTGCTATGTTGTTGTTGGCCAAATGGTTGCGCAAAATAGAAAACCAGCTAAGTCCTACAGTATCTGTGTCAGACGTATGGGGTTGGTCGGATTCCACGGTAGCCCTATCGTGGGTGGCGTCAGCTCAGGTATCTTTCAAGGCTTTTGTGACAAACCGTGTGGTTCTTATCCGCCAGCTACTGCCGAGTTGTCAGTGGCGTTATGTACGGACTGACATCAATCCGGCAGATTGCGCCTCTAGGGGATTAATGCCTGCTGAATTGGCTGCGCATAAACTGTACTGGCAGGGTCCGTCCTTTTTGTACCACGCGATTGACACCTGGCCTNCTTTACTGGCAGGGTCCATCTTTTTTGTACCACGCGATTGACACCTGGCCTCAAGAATTTAAAGTCATTTCAGAATCCGAGATGCCGGAAGTTCAACAAGTGTCGATATTGGTATCGACACAAAGTTCATCCTCTTCGGACTTCTTAACCGGACGGTTTTCTAATTATGGTAGAATGCTCCGGGTGGTTGCTCGGATACGACGCTGGTTAAAGTACAGACGCCATGAACCTGTCTGTTCGGTTTCCCTATCAATTTTGGAATTGAGAGACGCGCTCACTGCTATCACTCGTTATGTACAACGAAAAACCATGTCAGATCTTATTGTCGAGTTACAAAACAGGCGACCTGTTTCATCAAAGGCGTTTTCACGTTTGATGCCGTTTATAGATGATAACGGGATAGTACGCGTAGGAGGGCGTCTACAAAATGCCGACCTTCATGAACATCAAAAACACCCTATTCTGCTCACCCGGGATTGTCATTTGGCTATGCTTTTGTGTCAGCATTGGCATCGCGTCACTTGTCATTCTGGACCCCGACTTATTGTCAGCCTTATTGTGCGCCATTTCTGGATCATATCTGTTCGTGTACTCGTGCGTCGAGTGGCGACCATGTGTAGTACATGTGTACGTTTAGCTGCCGTTAATCCTCAGCCACTGATGGCTGACCTGCCTACTTCTCGTGTTCAGCAGTGTCGTGTGTTCCAACGTGTAGGAATTGATTATGCCGGCCCTTTCTCCTTCAAAGAAACGTCTCTCCGAAAGTCCAGAGTTTATAAGGGATATGTGGCAATATTTGTCTGCTTTGCTGTTAAAGCCACTCATTTAGAAGTAGTGTCCAGTTTGTCTACGGAGGCATTTCTGGCTACCTTAGATCGATTTGTAGCAAGACGGGGTATTCCCACAGACATTCATTCAGATTGTGGTACAAATTTTATCGGAGCAGCTAATGTTTTACGGTCACTCATCCAGACTGAGGATGCACGGGAGCGAATTGAAGCGTCAATACCCGCTCATTGGCATTTCAACCCCCCATCTGCGCCCCACTTCGGTGGACTTTGGGAGGCGGCAGTCCGTGCCATGAAGGCACGACTAACGCGGGTACTATGTAACCATGTACCCACGTATGAAGAATTTACTACTCTAATTACCCGGGTTGAGGCTGTACTGAATTCTCGACCATTAACCCCTATGTCTGCAGACCCTCAAGATTTAGACTACCTAACACCCGGACATTTTTTAATTGGCCAACCTCTCCTAGCCATTCCATACCCTCCCACACCAGAGATCTCAAAAAATCAACTCCAACGATGGAAATTATTTGAGAATTGCCAACAGAGTTTTTGGAAGCTGTGGTCTCAGGACTATCTACATACATTACAACAACGGTCGAAGTGGACCAAAGAACAACCCAACATCGCGGTAGGAGATATGGTTGTGATAAAAGAGAACAATACAAGTCCGTTAGTATGGAGGTTAGGTAGGGTGACGGGTGTTATTCTTGGCAAGGATAAAATTGCGCGCGTAGCCCAGTTGCACACTATTAACGGACAGATTACTAGGCCAATCGTGAAGCTGGTATTATTACCAACGTCATGACTCCTTGAGCACATATTCATTATTTCCCTAGTCTAAATATTAAGTTCCTATGTTTCCTTACCATATATATATATATATATTTTTTAATTATACAATAGTATCTTTATTTATTAATAATTGATTATGTTGTAACTTATAATTATTTTTTTAATTATTTTTTCCTTATTCAACTGTTATTGTAGTTAAATAATAAGTTCTTTTTATATGTCATATCATTATTGTATTTTAGTTGTGTGTTCTGTAATTGTAGATGTCATTGTTGATAATTAATGTTACCTTAATTTAATAATCGTTTTGTTTTTTTTTTTTGAACCATTTAATTTATGAATGTCATAACTGACCGTGAAGCCACATTGGACGGAGATCTACAACTCACTACACCATTGAAAAAGTTATCATAATGATCACACCATTAAGCCCTACCTTTTAACGTTCATATAGCAATTATAAGGGCTAGCCCTTCCAAGGGGGGAGTATGTTGCGGCAAGTTATGTGATTATGTTCAATTTGCGGCCCGAATGGAACCGGTTACATATATTAAGTGGGGATGCCGTTCGCTGTCCGGTAAGTCGTCGCCTTATCTAGTTAGTCAACCATTGCATGGTCTAGTGATTAGACCCATCGGCGCCGCCACGAGTTTTTCCGCGACTTGCGGTATTGTAATGTAAAGGTGAATTCCGTGGATTTACCGGGCGCGTGATCATTATAGTTTATTCGTGTTTTGTCTCATTCAAGCGATTGAAGTTGGTTAAATATAACAGTATAATCCAATCCTTGATATCAGCCCAGGTCAGATTACTGTATTCTATAGCGCTTAAAATTTATATTTGTACTTATTTTTATTAAACTGTATTGTTTATTTGTCATTATGAATGTAAGTGGGGACGCCCACCCATAAAGTTTATTATTAATTAAACCAACATTATTATTATAGACAAATTCCTTTCGAGTTTCTTATTTAATAATTTATTGGGGTTTCCTTGAATTCATATCCTAAGTCAATCAGGCCAACCGAGATTTAGGAGCCTGTGGACGAACATTCTCTTTTTTTTTATATATATACTTCACCTCAACATGTGGTTCTCAATCCGCATCTCGTCGCCATATTGTTATGTGTAGACGTAGGGTAAAAGCAGATATCATGCACATATTTATTCCATAACCGTTTAATATGAACTAAAACATTTACAATAACAATATCACCTATACCCCTGTACAGGTGAGTGATCAGTGTGACCACATCACAATTATTTAAAAAATAAAATTAATTATTAAACTATACATATTATATTATACATGTTAATTAATAAACCCTATAAAGATGAAGCTATTGTTTCTCAGTTAAATTTGAGTAAATATTTGATATTCTTAATTTAAGGTTGTCGAGGAATCTAAAGTTCAAATTTTCACTGAAAATGACGCCGAAACTGCTAAAGTAATTAAAATATATTAAAATCAATTCCTAATTAAATTTTTTAAAAAACTTAAATAGTTAATTGATATTTATTATACCAATCACAAATAAAATGTATAATTTAATATACAATAACAAGAATCATATAGTTTGTTTTCATAATCCTTTTTAACACATCAGATCAGTGATAGATACGCCACATTTTTCTGGAGCAGAGAGGTCTTGAAAAATAAAATGGTTTTACAATACGTATTGTAATAAACAAAAAGAAATAAAAATATATAAGTTAGGAAGGAAAATAAATGTAATGCAGGCGGTCAATGTGGAAATAAGAGTCGTAGTGGGTGTAGTATAAAGAAGGATGGGCAGCAATGGAAAGTAAAAGTGGCTATAGGTACCGGGCAGTGACTATAATAAAATGAAATAGAAAGGGATGCCGGGGTATGTATGCTTGCGTGAAGACGTCTAATATATGAATAAGATGGAATTACAAAAAAGGGTCACTACCTAGCTTCTGCACAGAAACGCGTACACGAATTTCTGGCAAGTCACAAGTATCGTATTTCCTTATAAAATTATTTTAGTTTATTCTCAATAACCTATCTTGTTCTAATTGTTTATTACTAAAAGTTCTTCAGTAAAGGATTTATTATAGACTTATTATATAAATAAATGTTTTCACTTACCTCTGACTATCCTGATAAGACAGGTACTCTCTTGAGATGAATGATGTAGTTATTGTAACAATTATCGATATATACGTATATGCATCGGTGTACGCATTTAAAATTATACGGTTTATGTTATTATTAACTCGCGTGTAACTACTTTTCTAGTACAATTCTATATTAAATCTATCCAAGGTGAAACCTAAGTTTGTTATAATTCTGATTTATTATGTAAAACCCTTTTGTATATTTATGTGGTATAGTCTTTAACCTTGTGTGTGGTGTTTTACACTAATGTATTTATTATTTAATAATTTATAAAACCAATAAAATAATTCTAAACAACATAACTGTCCTGTGCAATAAACTATTTCCAAGTGGCCTACATCTTTTCAGTCGGCCAAAGAGTGATCTTGTATAGATGCGAGCTCAATTTCGGTTCTTTGCACAATATATTATACTAGTGTCCTACACTCCGATTGCCCGCACTGTGGCAGAGATCAGACTGGCTAGTCGATAAATGGAGAGACACTTTGGAGAAATCTTATAATTAGTTGGAGTATTAACTATGATGTTATTGTGCTAATACTCTGTCCAGCCAGGTTGTGGCGCTTCAATAAGTAATAGAACACTATGCAATCTAGTCTTGTATTTTTTTAGTATGTATATATATATATATGTATATAAAAAAATAAATAAATACCAATATTTTATGTGTTAGAATATTTATATCACCAAAAGTATTCGACCGAAAATAAGATGTATAATATTTCTTGTAAATCACAGTAATTACGAAAGAGCACAAAAATAGTGCACATTTTATATAGAATTGTAACTAAGAACGAAACATACACTCACGTACAATCAATTTGTATATCTTAGTTGAGAGTTCCAGAGTTCTAGAGAGCCGTAGAGATGCAAAGGCAAAATGGCAAGGCGTCCCAGTGACAGCGAGAGAGATGTTCAGAAATCATACATAACCACCGTAAAAGACCACCCGAATTTGGGGAAAAATGGCCTTTTTATAACCCGCAAAACTGGTTTAGCGATCTCTGGTGAGATTCTTGAATTATTTTTTGCTGTATTTGATTGGTTAATGTGTTAGAATTTTTTACGTGGGCGTTTTATGGAATGCGTAAGAGGGTGGTTAAATCTTGTGTAAGAGTATTATTTTATTATTCATCTTATCCACGGGGGAACACTGATTTGGTGATATATTTTATTAAGTATACGTATTAATTATAACATGTATTCAAATGTGATACTACAGTATTCGAGTCTTTCATATGAAAGCCTCCGATATGAACATAAAATATTATATAAGTTTAAATATCGTCGTCCAGACCATCTAGATACCTTTTGCTGATCCTCTACTCACGTCAACTTATACAAATAATTGTAAAAACTCAAAATGCTAGTTTAAATATTTTCTTATTATATTATTTTAAACTTATCATTTTTAATAACATCATACGATTTATGTTAATCTTTTAAGCTTAAATCGAAGTCACTGTGTTGATTCATTTTTATGAGTTATTTGAACTTTTAAATTAGGATCTTTACTTTAAGTATGACTTAAAATCACTAAATAGTCTATTAGTTTGAGATGAAAACCTTTTTGACGTACGAATTATAGTGACAATTTTTTTAACTCTTATCTTTATCACTTAAATAAACTATTAAAAACAATTATATTTTCAAATGGTATATGGTTGAAATTTAATTTTGCCAGTAAATTAGAGCGCTGATTTTTATAATGAGCCATGAATTGTTTAGTATACTCAACAACTCATGGCTTATAGACACATATGTTTAAATATATAACAATTTATGTCATATTCACAATACTATCTATCCTACTTGAGGTTATTTTATAAAAATATTGAAAATAAAATTACTTTTACTAAAAATAAAAATAATTTAATTAATTAAGATTTTAACCTATTGCAAAATTGACTATTTAAACTTGTGTAAACTGACAAAAGTGGTTTCAAAGTCTACAGATGATGATATCACAAGAGGTACTCACATATAGCGTAAATTTTTTTGGAGGATTTTCATTATTTGGTTAGTGCTGATAATATTAATATGATAGTCTAAGTTTTTAGAAATTTGAGAATTTTACTCAAAATATTTGTATTGTTTTTAGAGTTCAGTATTTTAAATGTTTTTAATTTTAACAATATTTCTAAATATTATTTTAATTTTTAACTCTCAATCGATTACACGGTTTCAGAGTACTGATTCCGCCACGCGGGGTAATTATTTAACTTATAATCGGCTATGAAATCTAACATACAATCAAAATAAAAAATTATTTAGTAGTACCATTTTTTCTCAGCCACGTTTATTTAATTTTAAGTTATTCTTTTTAATTTATACAATTATTTTGGATTAATATTAAGTCAATACTCAATGTAAAATGATGAAATCAACATGTATAATTACATGGTGTTTCATTTATCATATACCACTTAATTAATCAAAAAATAAAAATAATATCGAGAATTTTATTTTGCTTCTTTTAGGCACATATTTTTATCAATTATGAAGTATTTTAATACCATCCCTTATAACTTAAAAAAGTGTCAACTTTATTTTTTCACATGGCTACAAACATAATTAATTAGTTTATTTAATAGACAATAATCTAATTAAGAAAATGACTAGTCAATATAAACTTTTGAACCATTATTTGAAAGTATTAGCACTTATATAGTACAGCGAGAAGAATTCAACGGTTGATAAATTGGAGATTAAAATAAGCTGACCCGAGTTTCACCTCCAGTTATTATAGTAAAGTTTTAATATCTAAAATACATGTTCAAAAATTGTTAACGATCATATATTTTATAAATGTGTATAAATAAAATAATTTACTTATATACTTAAATTTTATAACTGTTTAAACATTTAGTGGAACATTTTATAATATTCATGAAATCTCTTATTAATGCATTTTTAAATTATTTTAGTATTTTCAGTATTTGTATGACCTAGAAAGAGACAATTGTACAGATTCAAACAAATTAAAAGTTTGTAAATTATGTATTTTTAATTTTTTTTCTTAACAAATAAGGAAAATTAGTTATTTAAGTTATATTAATGTACATAGTACACATATTATTATAACTTCTTATTTACGCATCAAAGTTATTGGTTTTATTTCCGAATTTTTATTTTTTGTCGTTTAAATAAATTTATTAACCTGTACTATTTTGTTCAATGATATGTCAAAAGATTACAAACGTATCTAGTCGAAGACATTACAATATCTCTATTCAATAATAATTGGAGAAATTCTGATATTATATTATCATCAGGAATGATATTTAATAAAAATTCTGAAAAGTAATAACAATTCAAATATTGTGTGCCAGCATAATAAAATTTATCTGCACGTATTAGCAAAATTATTAAAAAAAACAAGCACAGTGGGGTTGTGGTACAGTTGGCACGTAGCATAGTTGGGTCCAGTATTAATGATATCTGAAATTAATTAAATTCACTATATAAAAGAAAACTTCGATGTAAATCTGTAGCTAGTGTTTAATTTAAAAAAAATTGGTGAATTATTCCAAAAGCAACATAATCACCTATTTCTTTATTTATATCCTGATTACAAGTTTTATAATTTATAAGTGTAATATATGAATAAATATTTATTGTAGCAATTAAATATAATATTAAATTGATATTTAATAATTTAATATTGTATTATTTTACATAAATCGTATTGTTTTTATTGACTTTGATGTTAGTTTTCACAATATGAAAAAGTTGTCATTTTGAATTCCCTCCGTGGTCAGGTAAAGGGTCAGATTTATAAAAAAAATATATCAAATGATAAGTAAAGACATCATGCATCTATAAAAAAAAATTATATTGATTTGGTAATTTTTCAAAAAATTATGGCAGTTTTAAGTAAAAAAAATTGTTAAAATGTCGAAAATTTGCGATTTTTAAAATTGTTACTTTTTTGAAGATTATCCCCATTTATGGGGAACGAGGGAAATTTTTTCAATTTTTGAAGGTAATGTCTTCGACAAGATACGATTTGTGATATTTTGGCATATCTTTGAAAGAAATCGGTTCAATCAGAACTGAAAAAAAGTGGTAACAGACACAGAAAGAAAAAAAACACATCATAGTAAAATTAATACCTTCTCAGCTTCGCATCGAATCTAAAAAACAATAGTCTGAAAAAATAGTCCAAAATGCATACAGCAAAAAACCGCTTAGATCGGGTTATAAAAACTTGCTGAATACTATTGATGTAAAAGTATTAGTTGGTTCCTACTTCTTACATAAAACTTATTGATGATTTTATCAGTTTTATTAGCTCAAGAAACGCAAATATAAGGAAATAGGGGGCCTGTAATGTTTTGATATAGATCTATTGTTTTGGTTTAAAGAGACTTACACATTAAGCGTTTAATCGCGCGCGTATGCGTTTTTAAACGCGAACGCCGTTCATATGCATACTGCAAGCGTTTTGACGCATCTTTATAAAGAAAATTAGCAAAACATAGTAAAATTAATAACTTCTCAACTTTATATCGAAGCTAAAATATTGATAATGTTCCTGGCGAGATATCGAGCCACACCACGTGCTGTCAATATTTTTAAAATATTATAGATAAGGGCAGCCCAAAACGACAAACAATAACTACAAAAGCGATCTAAAATGTATCTTAAAATAATGCATTTTATACACTCTGTATTACATTTAGACTTTAAACACCTATTACAAAATTGAAAGAAGACAATATTTCGAACATGATCTCATATCCATTTTGGAATTAACCTAGAATTAAGCTTGATAATTGAAATTGAAAATGTACTTTTAGCTTCGATGCGAAGCTGAGAAAGTATTAATTTTACCATGATGTATTTTTATTTTATTTTTTTTTTTTGTGTCTGTTTTCAACCTTTTTCAATAATGACCAAATCAATATAATTTATTTATAGATGCATGATGTCTTTACCATCACTTGATATATTTTTGTTATAAATCTGACTCTTTACCTGACCACAGGAGGGATTCAAAATAACAACTTTTTTAAATTAACATTTGAAAGTGTTCCGNGAGGGATTCAAAATAACAACTTTTTTAAATTAACATTTGAAAGTGTTCCGGAAATACTGACACTCTTATATATACCTCAAATTAAAAGTTATGTAATATACTTTATTATGAAAAAAAAAAATTTGACCTCTGGACTTGTCTTCATGGGAAAACTAACATCAAAATTAATAAAAAAAAAATACGGTTTTTGTAAAAAAAATTTTTTTATATTTTTATTTTATAATGCTATAACTTTTTGAAAAATATATGGATCAATACAATTTTTTTGATAAATACTATTTATATACCTCTTTCATTCGACATACCTTTTGTTTAAATAAAACTATTTCCCTTTATATATTTATATATTATAAATATATACATATATTCATATATTATACTTATAAATCATAAAACTTGTAATCAGGATATAAATAAGGAAATAAGAGATCATGTTGCTTTTGGAATAATCCACCAATTTTTTTAAATTAAACACTATTTACAGATTTTCATCGAAGCTTTTTTATGACGGGGATTTTAATCACTGTCAGATATCATCTATACTGGACTCAACAATGGCACGTCTCCACTGTGCCATGACTCCACTTTGCTGGTTTTTTTTTATTATACTTCAATCAGTTATAACTCTTTACAAATACAATATATCATATTTTTACGCTCAAAAATTAGCTGTATAACGTCTTCTTAATAACTGACTATTAAAAAATATATGATAATAAAAAATACCAAAAACAATTTATTCAATATAATTATAAGTTTAAAAGAAATTTAGAGACTACTGTTATCAGACTATATACAGGGTGTTAGTAAATGCTATGTCACGAGTAGTAGGATGATATTCAGTAGGGCCTAAAAATAGCGAAATCAAAAACTAAAATTTCCTATCGCCAAAATTGGGGGTTTTCCGGTTCCCCCATTTTAAATTTTGTTTTAATAAAAAATAAACATCACAACGGTGTTTCCCGCGAAATTCTCATACAAATTGAGTGGTCACTCGATTTTTTGTAACTTTCGTGTTCTCTCCTGAACTTTGGGTTCAAAGTTGAAAAAAATTTTACTTTAGTGTGACACATCAATTTGTATTGAAATTTTACTGGGAGTTCTGTGATGCAGCTAACTTTTAGTTTAAACGATTACATAACGAGATTTCTTTTTAGAAAAATGATAATTTCTAAAAAGAAAAAAAAATGATAATTTTATGACAATTTTAATGATAAAAATGATAATCGGTTTGAATAAATAATAAAAGACGAAATAAACTCGTGAAATTAAAAAAATATCACATTATCTGTAGGTTTTCCAGTTTTTCTCGTTATGTAATCGTTTAAACTAAAAATAAGCTGCATCACACAACTCCCAGTAAAATTTCAATACAAATTGATGGGTCACACTAAAGTGAAATTTTTTTCCAACTTTGAACCCAAAGTTCAGGGGAGGACAAGAAAGTTACAAAAAATCGAGTGACCACTCAATTTATATGAGAATTTTGTGGGAAATACCGTTGTGATGTTTATTTTTTATTAAAACAAAATTTAAAATGGGGGAACCAAAAAATCCCCAATTTTGGAGATAGGAAATTTTAGTTTTAGATTTCGCTATTTTTAGGCCCTACTGGATATCATCCTACTACTCGTGACATAGCATTTACTAACACCCTGTATAAGAACTTTATTGTTTAGTCTTAATTAGAAATAATCCTAAAAATTAAATACACAAAATAATCGTAATTGAATATCTTATAATAAATTTAATGACCATTAAGTTTTCTTTAGAACAACTTTCTACAAACAAAAAAGGAAATATATGTAACAAATCCTAAAAAAATCTTCTAATAACAAAAATTTGATTTTAAATATGCTATAAGTTTTAGGATTAGTACAAAAATCTATTTTTGTTGATATTTGACAGATTTTCAATACTATATTATTAAGATAACAATTTTTTTCAGAGAAGTAAATCAAAAAGAGAAGTAAGCTAATATTTGTTAACTTTCTCCAAATATCAATGTTTAATTAGTTTTCTAACCACAAAAAATATATATAAAAAGTAAAAAAAAATATTTCTTTTAAATTGTATATTTTATACATAAATCTTTGAAGTATAAAATTAAAATAATGAAATTTAGACCACTACTTTTATCAAAATATTCAGATTACACATTTGGAAATGTACTTTTCCACAATGTGCAACCTAGTTAAAATGTTTTTAACTACGGTTTTAATTCATAAATTCTGGTGCGTCATTTTTATTTTGAAAAATAACTTCTATAAACTTTTTTATTTTTTAACAACTCAAAATCTTAGAGAATATACAAAATAATCTAGATTTAGTAAAACACTTATTTTCTCAGGAACTTTTAAGAATTTTCAACTTTTGTAAAAAAAAATAAATATTGAACCAAAAAACTTCACAATAATATATCTTTAAATAATTTTTCTACAACTCTTCAGAGTTGTAAAACCGTAAATTTAATTTTCTTTGATAGGAATCCATATTTTAAACTTGATAATATGATGAGAAAAAATATAAGCTAATTTGTTCTTCTAAGTATTTTATTGGATCAACCGTTTTAGTGAGTACAGCTTGACTGATGTATTTTCACTCATCCCACACTACTTACGCATCTATTTATTTAATTATTGTGACGGATGAATGATCCATTAAATAAAAGTAATTGTATGAATAAAACTGTTTGTAAACAAACTAAGCTTGGTCAACTATAAGCCAAAATTTAATTAAAACTAAATTAAACTATTATATTCTAAAACCATATTATGTAATTTTATGAAAGAAAAATAATTTTGTATGAATATTATATTTAAATATCAAATTTATTAACTACTCAATAAAAAATAATTATTATTTACTTATCAATTTTTACAGGCTTTTAAAAAACTTATAAAGAAATCGATAAACAAAGTAATATTTATATTATTCATTAATAAAAAAATTCTATTTAATAATATGTTACAAGTTATTTAATAAATGTTTATTATTTTAAATAATAATTAGCAAAAAATGTTCCAATAAGAATGAACTGCCCTATTTTGATACTCTGTTACAGTAAATGTTGTTACAATTTAAACAAGCAGTGTAGAAAATATATTTTTAACGTATATAATTCATAAAAACTTTCAACATTTACATTGGTCTTACAAAACATCATAAACGTTTAAAATGTTTACTTTTGTTTAAAACTTATTTTCATTTTTAATGACCCAGTTTACAACACAATAGGATATTTTTAAATCGACTCTGAAAGCCCTGAATTTAATCATAAACATTTAATTATTAATAGGCCAAAAATAAAATACACAGACAATATAATGAATATACAGAAAATCAAGAAATTGAAAATTTACAAGAAGAACTCGTAAGTAAAACAATTTAACACGAACCAAATCTATCTACAGGTTAATACGTTAACTATTTCCTACACAAATCAATTTTATTAGTGAATTTTTTAACAAATTTGTGGTATGATATAGTCGAATATCATTTAAAACAGAATATTTAATTCATTACCCTTAATAATTTGTAACTAAAATATTTGTTTTATTTGTTCAATATTAAAGTAATTTAATTTTCATATTTTTTAAGAGAATCAATAAATTTTATAAATAAAAGTAATTCTGTTTTTAGTTTATCACACCTCCAGTCTCTACGAAAAATGACACCGAAGTTTTTCAAGTATGATTTGATTTTTCATTGGCTTCTATTCAGTTAAGTGGCAGATAATGTCATTTAACTTTCGAAATAGACTATCTGTCGAATATTCAGTTCTTTAATTACCTATTAAAAAAAAATCTAAAACCTCATCTACTACCTCACCACTCACTCCACTGAATACATAAGCTAACGACTCAACTCATAATAACTAACAACTAACCTTTATATGTCTTAGTTTCTACGTCCATAAATAACAATATATGTTATTTATATCTACTTGGTAAAGTCATCACAAAATTATTTTAAGGCATTCTTAACATCACATCAATTCAAAATTTGTAAACATGTTACAATTACTTTCGATACAATCTCTAATGCTAATACTATTTTAATCTTGCTTTACCACTCTAAAAATAGATTAAATACTTTAATTGCAAGCACTCTTTTATATAGTTTAGGTATTCTACTCTAAGACATCAATGTTTCAGAAAGTGACTTTTGGGGTACTGGTAGTACCTCTTCATCACGCAAACATAAAAAAAAATATAAATAAAAAAATTAATAAGTCTGTTTCCTAATTTCCATTTACTCAGCCTTTTAACCAGTTTTCCTCTTTCTCTATTGGTATTTTTTTAAATTATATGGCCTCTTTTAACTCCTCTCATCATGATAAAAATGATTTGGATTCCATCTTTTATGGAACACATTCCCATTCTCTATTCAAAATCCTAACTCTTTATGATATAGTCGAATATAATTTAAAAAGAGAATATTTAATATCTGCATACTTACTTTAAATTGTATCAAATTTAGTTTTTCAAGTTGTAATATATATGTTTAACTGAGTTAAACATAATAAAATGACTTGTGACAATAACTTTAAGTTATTGTTTGTGGTTGTGATATTTATTTTTTCTGTTATAATTTATTCAATATTTAGGCTATTTTCATTTTATTAAGAACATTAATATCTCTTATAAATAATGGTGATTCTGTGTTTAGGATATTAAACCTCCAGTCTCTACAAAAAAAGACACCGAAGTTGTTCAAGTATGGATATATTTTTTACTGGCTCTTATTCGGCAGATAATGCCACTTAACATAAGGATAAATCTCTCTGTCTAATTTTTAGTTTTTTAGTTACCCTAAAATTTTTTATTAAAACAATAAACTTAATAAACTCTAGTTTATTATTTCCACCAGTTTTAAAATATTTTTATTTTTGTTCTTAATAACGTTATTATCTTTAATTTTTAATTACTAACAAACATATTTAACTAATTTAATAATAAGAAAATTACTTGTAATGATAATTTTTTATTCTTGTTGCATAGTCCTGATATTTTTTCTTTTGTATCGGTGACTTTCATTTTGCTATAATCTATTCAATGTTAGGTTATTTTCATATTTTTAAGGACATTAATAACTCATAACATTAAAGCTTTTATCCAGTTAAGTGGTCTCTTGTTAATGCCACTTAACTTAAGCAATAGACTATCTGTCAAATATTCAGTTTTTTAGTTACCTATTAATTTTTTGTAGGAGTGTAATCTTCATTCAATTACTCAATAGATCAGGAAACTTTTAATAAATGAATGATATGATATATTTGAATAAAATTAAAAAAACTGAATATTTAATAGAAAATTTGTTTTCGATAACCTTTCATTTGTCTAATAAAATAAAATAACTTTAAGTATAAATCACGAAAATTAAGTCACCAGTTAAAATAAATGTTATATAAATTAATTTAATATTTAAATAAAAATAATATTCTTGTGTATCCAATAATTTCTCTATGTTTCACCTACACCCAAAGAAAAACCTCAATCAATTTTGATAGAGAAATTTTATCAAGGGTTTATGATAATGTTTTATTAATACGAACAAAATAACTATTCTTATGAATAATTATTGTTCAAGACAAGAAAAAAAATTATCATATTGATAAATATATCATAGGTTCAATAGTAATGATATATTTATCAAATTGAACAATGAATTTATTATATAGATCGAGGTTTTTCTCTGGGTGTAATATCTTCAAAAAAATTGAATAATATTCTCTTTTCGAAATTTATTGGTATTCTATACTTTAATTAACACAAAAAAAATGTAATGATCTCCCACATATTCCTCCTAAAAATTAGCTTTTTAATTAATAACAAGCATATTTAATAACTTCTTCTTTTTTATCCTCGCCTTAATTCTAACTACTTGGGGTCGGGCAAACAACAATATTTAATTAATATAAAAATAAGAAAATGATTGAAGCCAACAACTTTTAGTTTTTCTTCGTGTTTTTGACCATTTTGCATTTGTGTCGGTGATTCTCTTTCTTCTATGATCTATTGAATCTTTAGGCTATTTTATTTTCATATTTTAAAGAGCATAAATAACTTTATAGATAAACATCATTCTGTGTTTAGGTTGTCGAACCATTGATCTCTACAATAACTGTACAATAACTTTCCCTCGTTTCCACTGTGCTGGGTTTGTTTTATGTTACAAATTATGTAAATTCTTGTGATAATAAACATCTATAGTCCGATAAATATATTTAATACACTTTTTAAAAAAAAGGCTCGGACCAATACGGGGTCGGTTCTAAAATATCATCATATAACCGCCACGGCACTGTACTAACTTTTGTTAGTGTTAAAATTAATAATTTTATTATGTTACAGAATTTGAAATAACAGTAATTTTTGATTATTTATAAATGTTTAAATTTTTTTTGTGTTTTTATCAGAAAGATCAAAATGAAACTGATGAAATTATACAAGATATTTCCAAAGTTAGTTCTGTGTGTACTAAATATTTCCAGATATATTTTTTCATTTATGAGTTATTTATTGGTTTATTTATTATTTATTTTTATTTACCTAAAAAAAATGTTTATTGCAAATAAAATATATTTGAGACTTAAATATTTTATTAATGAAAGAACTCAAACGATTAGTATTTTCTTCATTAAAATTATACAGAGTGATTCATTAAGGATAAGACACTTTTTTTTTGGTAACTATTGAAAATTTTTAATTTTTTGTACGGAAAATATTATTTGATACAAAAAAAATGAGTAACTCTTGTATTCAAAATAGTAAAATAATAGAAATTTAGTCCAAATTCTGTAACAGATGAACGGTTGATCAGAAAAAAAAAATTTTAAGACTATGCTCTTATAATTTTTTGTTTATATTTTTATTTTAAATCATAATAAAAAATTCAAAATAGGGTTCCCATTTAAGAAAATTTAAATTAATGTTTTTTAACCTTGAAGGGATGAAAAATCATAATGATTTTACTACATATTATTGCAGAGTTTTTTTAATTAAACAATATTTTCCTTACCAAAAATTTAAAATTTTCAATAGTTACCGAGAAAATCCTTAATGAATCACCGTGTACATATTTTTAGTAAATTTTTGAGTTTATAAAAACTTGAGAAAGAGTTTTGGTTTATTTATCTTTAAGTTAGGTTGGGTTATACGAAATGTTTTTTCGCTAAAATTTATCTTAATAAACATTCAAAAAAATCAAATAAATTTTTTTAAACAATATAATTATTTTATAGAATGTTGAAACAATAATAATAACTAATTTTTTCATATAGATAAAATATTAAATAAAAGTTATTATAAAATTTAAATTTCTCTTATATGAATGTTGTTATGTTTTTAGACTGTTGAGAATACTAAGAATGGCAATTCCTTAGAAGATGACGCAAGATATGCTCGAGTATGTTAAAAAATTTTAACAACAATTTAATGTTAAAATATTTTTTTATAAGATATAGATTAACAATATAATGTTAATGTACATACATCTTTTAAGTATTCCGTATTGTATCACTTTAGATATAGACTTTAAAATTTAGTTTAACAGTATTTTTAAAAATATAAAGCTGAACTTTTCTTTATAAGTCATTTATATTTCTATTTATATTATTTATTGCGTCAATAACAAATGTCATAAAAGTTCTAAAAATAATANAAAATTTAGTTTAACAGTATTTTTAAAAATATAAAGCTGAACTTTTCTTTATAAGTCATTTATATTTCTATTTATATTATTTATTGCGTCAATAACAAATGTCATAAAAGTTCTAAAAATAATACTTATTATATTTTTCATAATTTTTAATTGGTGTAATCACTACAAAATCAAAAAAAAATTAATATTTTGAAATTTTTTTTTTTTTTTATGAACATACATATTAAGAGAAAAATTTTAATTTAACAATTACCTAAAATAGTGATGGTAAAGAAAAATTAAAGACATATCTGGAATGAACACCAAAAATCCAATAGAAATCGAACTGTTCATAAGTATTCTATAAATTTGGATCGAATTATGGATTTAACTTATCACTTATTGAACACTTCTTGATAATATAAATAAGTCAAATGTTAATAATTATATGTAATTATTAATTGATATATAAAATAACTTTAGATTATTAAATACTTATTTCACTGAAACTTTTTACTAAATTTTAATATATACGTAGTAAAGTAACTTCATTATAACTCAACCAAAATTATGACACAAAAGTCATGCACATTATATCACACTCCTCTTTCATTCATCGAATAATAGTGAAAAATGTTAAAAGTTTAAGAAGCTACATAATAAAAAACTTTATAATTAATAAAATAGCAAATCGGTAATAACTTTTAGACCAATACTTCAGAAGTTATATACTTAGGCCCAAAGAAGAGTACAATTGAAAAATACCTGATAATAATAATAGCTAAATCCACGCCTTTACTCCAGTCAAAATTTTTTAATTGTTTGAACTTTAAAGCACTGATCTAAAAGTTGTTATCCATCAGTATTCCTGATTAGATAATTTTCTCTTATGTAAGCTAGTTAAATATACATATTGTTGGTTAAAAAAATATAGTTATAAAATTTTTCCGTTAAATCTTACTAAAAAATCCAAATAAAATATTTCCGAAATTATTTTTTCTATGAATATATTAAGTAGGTTATTATATACGATTCTTTCTATATACTCTATTTGAATTTAAAAATTATTATTTGTTTTTTTTTTTAGTATTTGCAAGATGTTTACGATAATGAAACTCAGCCAGTTCCACGTGAAACAGAAGTAGGTATAATATATATATACATTGTATATATGCATAACTTCTATTGAGCCCAATACACAAAAATACTATCAGAATGAAGCCAATGTTCACACTTTTCATGTAAAAATCTTAACGAATGGTTCTCCACATTTATATTCACTACGAAAAACACATTTAGTTAGATGTGTTGATACGGTACAACGTACTTAACTCTCTAGTAAGATGATTACTGGCAACACAAACAATACGACATCCTTACATCCGTTGAAAGGTGGTAAGCCGAACATAGCTGTCTGATAACAGTGTCATCGTCGGCGTGTCAACAATTGTTTAATATAAATTATATTCATTATACTACAAAGAATTTAAAAATTCCAATAGATAGAATTGTATTTTTGTCTAGATAATCGATACTCCTAAGGTTACTACAGAAGACGCCAACTATGCTCGAGTAAGTTAACAAAATTTCAGTATAAAATTTTCTTATTTTTTGAAGTTTTACTACAACATAATGTATAAATAAAAAATTCATAACATTTTTATAGAAATATTTAATTTATTTATTATAGTATTTGCAAGATCTATACGATGAAGAAAATGTAACACTTTCATCCTCAAATAAAACTAATGTACTTAGATTGAGTATAAAACATTTTATGACATTAATGAAGAGTTGGCAATTTAATTGGGTCTACTTGGGTTTAACTATACAAAAATATGTTGTCATAATCTCGAAATTAAAATATTCGGGTAAAAAATAGTTATCAAAAGGTTCATTTTAAAGTTAAAGGACTCCTTTTATGATAAACACTTCAAGAACTGTTCAGGTCAATTCATACTACTTTATAAAATACAAAATTTAAAAAATGAATTACTCAGCAAATATATAATCAGGAACTTTAAAGATCTGGATTAATTATTTAATTAATAATTGAATTAATTAATTAATTGAATAATTACTAAAATTACTTTCAAAAATTATCCTGAATGATTTAGTCATTAAATTTTAATTTTCATTGAACACAAAAAAAAATAATGGAATTAATAGTTGGTTAAAAAATAACGAGTTTTTAATTTATACGTTTTTAAGAAATTTGACCATAACAACATGTGATTGTCTTAAATTTTGATGTATTAAGAAGTTAACAAATTTCATTCAATATACTTCAAATTATTACATTAATATTTTCTCCCCTAAGGGGCGTGGCATTTAATCGCCAATTTAACGTTAATGTTCAGCTGAGCTGTTTGCTATTAGTTCTCGAATGGGTGACGATACAGGAACTTTAACAGCGCCAAACATAGGTCGATATCCGACATAAAAAATCCCTGTCAAATAATATAAAGTGGATCCGATCATAAATAGTTGGGATTAAGTCTATGGAGATGATGATGATATTTTCTACTCTTAACCCTAATTAATATTTTGTTTCCAGATTGCTGAGAAACCTAACGCTGAAAAATCTACCGTTGATGATGCCAGCGTTGCTGAGGTAAGCTCAAAAAAAGTTAGATTTCAATTATTCTAAATTCAAATAATCCAATAATTACTATTATACTACAATTAAATGTAAAGTTTTCATTTACATTATACATTAAAATCTTCCAATACAAGAACGTCAAAGTTCGTACATTTATTTGTTACTGTATTTTACACTACGATCATCTTTTCTTTCTAAGTTATAGCTTCTAAAATGACCTTTGTTACTAACCAATATAAATTTTTCCAGTGAACTAATTTTTTTATAAAAAAACTAATTAAAATATCGAGGGATTCTCTCTGTTTAATTTTCTTGTCAATGTATTATAAAAAAATTAACAATAAATATATTTGAATTATTGTACAATATTGAATCAGAAATAAAGTATGTACAAATGAATATATAAATGAATACCAACATATTTTTAAAGTATCAAAATTAAATTTTAATTTTAATATAAAAAAAACAACACTTTTTGATATTTTAAATTTATTTTTCAGAATTTTAACTAAATAATTTATTTTTAGATACCCACGAACATTGGTAAAAGTTATGAAAATTACATGCCTGTGACTGTAGAAGAAGTTATGGATCATGTAATTCAAACAAATAATTAATATATTCTATTAGACCATTTAATATGAATCATTTCAAAACATAAACTTAGGGGAAAAAAATCATTGTATATCGATTAATATATAAAATATATTAATACTGTGCTGTGCTGTGGTTAATATATATTTTAGAAAGAGGGAAGAAAGAGTTAGATTTATTAAAACTTTTCATAAAATATCATAGCATTTTTTCTTTTTGTGAATTTAAAAATAATGTAATGTAGTAGCTCTTGTAGAGTAGTTTAAAAAGAACTTTGTAGTAACTCAAAAGGAGAGAATTAAATAAATAAATATGAATGAGGGGGGTGCTTGTTTGAGCTACTACTTTATTTTATTAATAATATTATGACTCGGAGTATGAGCTCGAGGATCTATAAGAAAGATAGAAGATGATAGAAAAATAAAGTGATCATAAATTCTATTAATATGGGATTTATTGTAATTAATGGTCAATTCATTAATGCCACGAGTTTTGAGAGTTATCGATGATAGGTGGGATTGAGTTACCTCGTGTGTCTACCCAGAGTGGTATGGTGGCTGTACATATGAACCTCCAACCTAACTCATGAAATAGACACGTATAAAAAATATAACTCTGCCAAATAACTCTGTAAAAACATTATCAATTTATTTTACATTTACTTGGTGTATTTTTTATTATTGATGATTACTTGACTTTCCTGTATTCCTACTTAATCTATGTACTCATGACATTTAATTCTAAACCTTATATATTTTTGGTGAAATTACTAGTTTCCTACCTTGATATTTCTAATGACACGCTGAAATGAATAAATATTGTTCTTGTATAAATATAATTGTAGAGACGACGGATCACTTCTTGCATATATTTCGTTATGTAGGTGCATAATATTTGAACGTAATTCAATATACTGAGTGGCTCTGTAAATATCTGAGCAAGTGAGAGCATTCTGACCACCATCAAAGTGACATCTGAGCCAGAATGCTCATTATATTGGACTTTTTATATTAATTTTGATGTTATTTCAAAGGCAAGAAGTAATCATCGACACTATCATTATTTCTTTATTAATTATAATTTATCACATGTGATTTATTATATTTTCGTCAATAATGATCTACATTTCATAATGCTCTACCGTTTGTTCTATAAAATCTTACACATTATTTATTACCTTATGTCTAACACATTATTTCCCTGTGGATAGGGTATAAGAATACTTCCACGGCCCCTCTGTCAGTCATAAGAGGCGACTAATGAGGTTGTGTCGACAGCCGGCGTAAAAATCTTTGTCAAAAAAGTATGAGGAATCCTGAATAAAACTTAGGCGGATTGTCCCATCTTGGATGTACGCGGGGATAACAGAAAGTAGTTAAAAACGGAGGTCTAAGGAATAAAGTGTTTGATACCAGCCGGACAACTTGTGCGGTACAGGTCTACCCAACGCTTGTAGTGTCAACGGTGTAGGGACATCACCACTTAACTCTAGGCTGGACTCTTGTATAAGGGAGAAAGATAGATACAAAGTAAGAATAGGTACTTGGAATGTTGGAATATTAACTAGTAGAAGTAGAGAATTAGTAGAAGTATTGAAGAGGAGAAAAGTTAACATTTGTTGTGTGCAGGAAACTAAGTGGAAAGGAGATAAATCAATGGAAATAGGTGAGGGTTATAAAATAATATACTCAGATAAGTCTAGTACAAAGAATGATGTAGAGATAGTAATGGATGAGGTGATGAAGAGTAGAGTAGTAGAAGTAGCTAGAAAAAGTGACAGAATTATAGTCGTAAAATTGATATTCGAAGAAAAAGTGCTGAATCTAATAAGTGCCTATGCACCACAAGTGGGATGTGATGAAATAGACAAAGAAGTTTTTTGGAGAGAGATGGATGAGGTGATGTATGGAGTACCTGGCAATGAGGATGCGGTAATAGGTGGAGATATGAATGGACATGTAGGAAATGAGAGGAAAAGATATGAAAGAGTACATGGAGGGTATGGTTTTAGTGGAATGAATGAAGCTGGAGAAAGAATAATGGATTTCGCAGTATCGTATGATCTTGCTGTGGTTAATACTTATTTTAGAAAGAGGGAAGAGCATAATATAACATATAAGAGTGGGAGGAATAGATCACAGATAGATTATTTTATGTGGAAGAAAGAGAGCGTAAAACGATTAAAAGATTGTAAAGTTATACCAGGCGAGAGTGTAACTACACAACATAGACTGATGGAAATGGAGTTGTAGTGTACCGGAAAAAGAATAAACAAAAATAGTACAAACACAGGGGAAAAGTCGAAGATCCGGTGGTGGAATTGAAAGGGGAAAATGAAAAAGAGTTTGTAAAGACGGTAAAAGAGAGGACGATGTGGAATGTCGAGGGAGACATAAATGATGTATGGAATATATTTGCTAGTTGTGTAAAGAATACTGCAAAAGAGATTGTTGGTGAGAGTAGGACCAGATGAAGTGCCAGTAGAATTATGGAAAATATTAGGAAGGGCTGACATAAGGTGGTTGAATGAACTTTTAAATAAAATCTTATTAGAAGGGAAAATTATCAAATGAATGGAGGAATAGTATTGTAGTGTCGATATTTAAAGTAAAGGAGACATGCAGGAGTGTGGAAATTTTAGAGGCATAAAGCTTATGAGTCATAGTATGAAAATTGCGCTATTTTAAACGGTATAATATATACACTTACAAATAATTATATAATATTATGAAGTACTCTGTATAGATATTAAAACAATTAGTTGTTTGGTTGGGTTTTTAATTGCATTAAACACTGTTATATATATATATTAAAAAACCTCAAAACATGTTCTAATATTCCCCAAAAACTGATAAAACATGTTTAAAAGAATGATAAAACCCACAAGTATTGAATTTTTGTTTTCAAGTACAACATATTCAATTGTGTATGTATACATTAATAGTTATTTGTATAAATTTGGTTTTATAAAAATGTTATATCCATACAAGTTATATACTTCTGTATTAAATAGTACAAAACATAACTTCTATACAATAATTGTATAAAAGTTACCTTTATGTTAGTTATTAGACTAAGACAAATAAAAACCATTAAATATTCAGTAAAAATTAACACATTTATATTTCATAAAATAATATTTAGTATAAGTATATATATTTAATATATTAGCTTATTATATTTTTTCTCAGAATAAGATCTGTTTATTTTTAAACAAAATTGTATAGAAGTAGATTATACAATCTTTCAATGTTGCCTCAATCTCAATGTTTCACTTATATTACCCATATTTTCAATATTGTGTTTGTTTTATCACTATAATTAAATAGTTTTTAGATTTTTACGTGATTTTAAAATAAATCTTACATATACATTTATTTTTTAAAAATCTAGAATTACGTTATTGAAGTAACGACAGACCCAATGGTTAACACAAGGCATTTTGTACCAGTTACTCTTCAATGGCAGGCTAGAAAATGTATGCAATTTGGTTTGAAATTAAAAAAAAGTGTTTTTAATCACGATGAACCAGTTAAGTTACTCGGTAATCCAACGGATAGGAACGCAATGCCAAAAAATAACAATAGCCTTTATCATGCAATTTCATATTGGATAACTGGATCGTCTGACTATGCAAAGTTTTTACGAAAGCGTATAAATTCTGTAATATGAAATCAACCCGTACTTAAATCAATTTAATTAAGATTTACTTATTTTTGTTTCTTTAGAAAAAGGACATTACTGATGGTATGTTTCATCTATATTTTTTTTTCTGTTATCATAAATAAAAAAAAAATTCTATGTAGATTACTTAAGCAATTCTTTAGGGACCGCTCTCTAATCGTTTTCTAAATCTATTTTGTAAGTATAGGACTGGCGGCTTTTTGGTATACCGAAAGTAACCGATATATCGTTATTTTTCATATTATAAAATCATTGTCATTTAAATGCATTTCATAAAAACCATAACTAAAATACTGGTATCCAGTTATTAATGTTAATTTGGTATAATTTCTACTATTATTTTGGATAGCAATTCTTAATAGTTTTTGATAAATTGATTTAAATCTTTATCATAGTCTACCTTTGAAACGGAAATTTAATTCAATACCACGAACATTACTCTATTGTATAATACCACTAATCAAAATTATAAAGACTCAGTACTTTTTTCTTTGTTACTCAAACAATTTAATTTCAACTATTATTATTAAATTATATCATTTCCATTTTCTTTTATCGTTAACTTTCAGTAATTAAACTAAACAATTTTTTTTTGTTTTTGTTTGTACAGAATATTTTGAATTTTTTGAGATAGCTCAATTCTTGAACACATCAATTTATCTTCATTCTTTTGGTGTCTGGCAATTTTTTAGTAAAGATGGAATTAATGCTGTAGAAACTGTCCAATCCTGTTTATATTTAAGCAGTGTAGATAAAGTGCATTTTGAAGTTGTAACAAACGTTGAATAATATTTATTTATATTTAATGTGTAATTTTTAGTATTAAGAAATAATAAATAAAAATAATACAGAACTTTTTTTTCTATAATTCCTGGGTAAATTATCTGAACAATTATTTATATAGTAATTGAAATAATTTTAAAAAGTCTTCTAGATGACACTAATTAATTTAGTAAAACTAAATAAATGTATTGAATAAAGTATATTTAATTTTGTAAAAATTATAAAATCAACTAAATAATAAGGGGTAATAGAAATGATAAATCACACTGTAAAGATAAGCAATATTTAAATTACTTAGTATCAGTAGAAATATTTCAAAATGCAGTTGAACCCAACAATTTTAAGACCGGTATAGTGTATGTTTCCTACAAGTCATCTAGGACGGCTAGTTTTACACAGTACAAGAATTCCCGCCTTGCCTTAAGACTGATTCGCTAAAGGTGCGGGTGAAAGGGGTCATTCACCAAAAGTGAAAAGAGGAGGTATAAATTGAAATCTGACAGTAATTAAAATCTTAATACACCTTGCCTAAAGTTATTGGAGAATGTTCGACCAATGGCGTCATTTGCGGGGTAGTAGGATAGGATTTGTCACCCTTTGAAAAATACGTGCAATTTATTTCATTAAACGTTCACAAAAATCAAATGCATGTGAAATAAACTCAATCCTATGCAATTTTAGAATATTTATTATCAATTAAAAATTTTTTTTTACACTACCTAGTTTATTCAAGAATACAGCTGGGTATATACAAATAGATAATATATATTGTCACTATGTGTTACCAATTACTAGTAAATAGTTAAATAATATGTATTATGTATGTTCATTATAACAAATGGGTAGATTAACCTTTTAAAAATTTTCCTTTAGAACATATTAAAATCATTAATATATATATTATTTTTTATAATACTATTAAGTTAAAAATAGATATTTTCATTTAATCAAAATATAGTTAGGATTTTTAAAGATTACTATGATTTTTATTGAAATTATTTAATTCGATATTAATACAAAACAAAATAGTGATTTTAATGACATTTTTAGCTTTTCTCATAAATTTATTTCTAAAAGTAATTATATCTTTAAATTCTCATAACATTTTTAATTTAACAATGTCAATTTCAAACTTACAAATTAAACTAAATATAAATTAGTTCAACATTTAAATTATAAACTTTCATAAAAATCAACTTTAAAGGACTAAAAAAATAAGATAAACATTACATTTTTAATCGACGTTACACGGATTATTTTTGACATATTAAGTATCAAATCAATAATAACTTGAAAACAAATAATTTATTTTGTTTTTAATTAATTTTTATATTTTAGTATATGTTAATACTTGTTTATATTTATTATTTATTATATTTTATGCTCGTATAATCCCGATGTATATATACATAGCTACAGAGGAATTACGGACACTGTTTGTCTTTATTTGGCATCTTTTAATAATAAGCACTCTTATAACAAGAGTAGATAACGTAGGACAATAATTTAAATTTTCATGTTTTGCTTAAAACATTTTTTGTTAAACAAATTTTACCTTTCTTTGTTTATTAGTTTATCTACAAAGGCATTTTGAAACATTTAGAAATAGATATATCCGATATACCTACAGAAGAATTTCTAGCGGCTTTCATTAGATTTTACAAGAAGATTTATCGAAATGAATTTAGATTGTGACACAAACTAAGTGGAAGCGTCTCGTCAAATGTAGACCTTATTCGATCAATATGCGACAAAAAATATATTTCAATCCCGAACATCATGCGTATGGAAGTTTAACCCGCCAACAACACCTCATTTTGGTGGTATCTGAGAAGCGGCTGTTAAGAGTACCACAAGTCATTTAAAAAAAGTAATCGGAGTACAAGTCTTTACAAATGAAGAAATGACGACTCTGTCTCGCATTAAAGAAATTTTAAATTAACATCGATGTCTAGTGTGCTTGGTGACCAAGAGATTTTAACACGGGGTCAATTTTAATAGGATAACCGATTATGGCTTTACCTGACACAGACTAATATCGCCATAAAGCCATTGAATAGGTGGCAGTTAGTGAAACAGGCACAATAATCATTTTGGATACGGTGGTCACAAGAATATCTGGTTACATTGTAGTTACGTCAAAAGTATTCTTCAGCAAAACTTCATTAGATTTTGAAGATACAATGGTCTTACATTCACCATCTCGGCTAATAATGTCATGGCAACTTGAACGAATCATGGATGTTTACCCGCGATAAGATAGTACATGTCGTTACCGTTAAGACAGCGGATGGTGTCTTAAAGCACCCTGTGGTTAAGCTGATAAAACTACAACTTTAACTTTCTACCTCCTTATCCCTTTACTCTAGCAGTATAACAATAAGTATTTATATAGTTTAGTTCTTTAATTATTCAGTACCAAAAAAGAAAACAAAATTTAGAAGAGGGTTCACAATATTGCTTAAGTTCATACAATTATATATACATCATTTTATACATTTTATATATTACTTATATATATATATATATATATTATATTATTATATATATTATTTAATAGAAAAAATATAATAATGTATAATAATTTTTTTATTGGTTTATTTTAGTTCAATGATTTCCTCAATGTATCAATTATTAAAAAAAAATTTATACTCATCTAAGATGTCACTTTATGTTTTCTAATTGCAATACACTAAATTAACTAGATGATTAATTAAATAATAGTCTAATTAAGAAAATGACTGGTGATATCAATTTTTGGACCAGTACTTCAGAAATTGTTAACAAATTAAAGTAATGACTAGAGGTGGAAAATGAGTGCTGCTATTTCTATAACATGACATTTCTTGACCATACTCTTCCTCTTACCTACATATTTATATGTCAATAACTTCCAAAATACTGGTCCAAAAGTTGTTATCAACCAGTCATTTTCTTAATTATACTATTATCTAATAAATAAGCTAGTTAATTAGGAGTTTTGTCATTTTTGGAATTAAAGTTTACAGTTTATTAAGGTTTAAGGAATAAACATATAAAAAAATATTATAATTGAACTAAAAGAAACAAATATAAAAGATGTTAGTATTGCTTTTATTTTTTGGTTAATTAAGTAGTTTATAATAAATGGATCACTTTGTATATGTAAATAAATATTTTTTATATCTTTATTGTTTAATAAATGTTTTGAGCGAGAAAGCCACTCAAAAAATTTGAATTGTCGTCCAAGTCGCACATAATACAATAAATAAATAATAAATAATACAATAAATAATTATTTATCGTATTTACATTTACTTCAAAAATATTAAATCTATAAATATGAAGAGTAAAACACGTGTTTAATGTCTTGAACAAATAATTTACTTAAATGTTTTTAAAATTTTTATAAAAATGTATAAACCAATTTCTACATTATTTTACTGTTTATTCGTTAGCTATTAAATTCTGCTTTAATAGAATGTATTTCTTAAACAATTTTTTAATTTTGATAAACACTTTTAGTGTTTTTATACAAAATCTCAACTCCATTGAAGTTTCTGAAAATGATCCAGAACCATTAGTAAGTCAAAATATTTTTTCACTTTGCTATTAACTATCCTAATCAAACAATTATTAGTATGAACAGTCTTTAAATATTCAAACGTAAATTATTATTAAACGTATTTACAGTCTATATATAACCATTCAATGTTGATCAAGTTACTTTTGAAAGTAACAATGTTAAGTTACTAGTTTAAGTACATTAATGCAATGAAATTAATTTTACGTTACTTACTCATATAAGTAACAAGTAACATTACTTTGTATTATAATAAAAGATATTACATTACATAATATTTACAATCAGAAAATAATTTCGGGGAGAAGGGTTATTATTAAAAAAAATGTTTGATGACCTAATTTTTGTTACTAAAAATTTATCTGCTGCATTGATAAACACCAAAATATTGATAAGTAAAACAAAAGGTCATTAATAATTTTTTACACTGCATCGCTAATTGTTTCGGAGTAGATACTGTAACAAGATATCAACATAAAAAATTTATCAACACATTATATTTATTGTTGTTTAACTACATTTCATCAAAGACTAATTGGTTTTATTGCGAACAATATTTTCTAGAATGTCATATCCTAAAATTTTAATCTAATCGTGGTTCATATTTGTACGCCTTTTTATTTGATCATAGCGTTATTTTTAAAATTCTTATAAAATGCTTGTGAACCCTAATTGATATTCTATAATGAGTTTCTTGCTAACCGTAGTGTGCTTAAGTTTTGTAAAGATTGTCCGTTTTTCTGCTAAATTGTTAAAATACGATGCTTAAAAGTGGCTCTTACACGATCAATATTATTGACAACATTCATATCAATAATACTGAAGAAACTGAATTGAAGAAAATATTGATCTATAAAATATATTGATGCACATTTACAATCGTTGAAATACAATGATAGAAATTTTAATTGACTTGTATTGATAAAATAAATTGACGGTGTATATTGGCCGCAAGGAAGCAATTACCATTTTAACAGCTTAAAGAGGCGTGCACAGAATTAAAATTACTTCGACGTTTTTACCATTCTTTTGGCCAAAGTCTAGATCATTTTTTCTTTTGTTTCTTCATTTTACACACAACCAAAATCAAAGCAAAAAACCCTTAATCTATATAAGAAACAATGTTGAAATTTTAAATATCAAAAAAAATAATTCAATACACCAACAACGTGAGCACTCAGGATCCAAAATCAAATGATTATTGATGGTAGTTATTGACAAGTAAATTGAAGTACATTGTCCTTGATCAATTTTAAATCTTACGACACATATATTATATATGATCTGTAAATTAGCTATTTTATTTTATTTTAATTTAAATACGAAAATGGCCCATCGTTCTAAGTCACTCATTCATACTTAGTTAATTTATATTAAAGAAACGAAAATGTTTAAATAATTCTTTACAAATAAAGTATTTTATTTACTAACTCAACTGCATAAATGCATTATGAAAATATAACTATTTTTAAGTTTCTTCTAATAACTTTTTATTATATATAGTTTTAAGTGAGTAAATTTGTTAATTATTTATTAACCACAGGTGGATTTTTTTTGAAGATCAAAAGTACATAAAATATAATTTTTAAAATTTTTGGATACTTATAAAATATTTAGGGAGGCTAAGCCGCTTTTCTATGGCTACTTATGCTGAGAGGAGATACAACAAATAATTTACTTGACACATTGAATTATACATAGGAGTTTAACTCTGTATGTATAATATAAGTATAATGGTGCTGGACCCCTCCAAACCCCTTCGGAAATTAGCCACTGCTGATAATGATAAAATTTATAATTTAAAATCTAACAAGAATTTCAAAATATTTGTTTTTTTTTTTTGGTTAAGACCAGTTTTCAATCAAAACTTAAAATTTTGATTTTCTAAACCTAAATAAAAATTTCTAAGAGCCCAGTACGACCGGAACCGCTGAAAACATAAAGTACTCAGTCTCTGATTTAAATATTAGATAACTGATAACTGATTAGATTTATTTATTGATAACTCACAAACTAAAAATTGATTAGATAGATATTAGACCCGTTTGTTTAGACCGTTGTGCACTCTATGAGCCGATTACTATTCTATCTCATTACAGTTATTGTTTTTATTATAATAAATTAAATGTATGTAATATAAAATAGTTTGATGATAAATTTAAGTATTAATAAATTTATTAAATGAATTAAATTCTCTTAAGCTAATTGATTGATTTTCTTTTAAATTTCTTTCTTTGTGTAATTTAACTAATCTTAAATAAAAATAATTAATGTTCAGTACTCATAATTATGTAGAACCGCTAATCAAGGCAGCTACCTACACCTAAATTAAAATGTATGGACTACGAAAATAACTAATAAATAATAACAGTAATAACAAATAAACTTAGGCAAATACATTCTTAGTGACTAAAACATATTTAACTATTACTAGTTGAGTTGGTACCATACGTACCAAAGCTTATTTAAAGTTGAAAATATTAGGAAATATCTTTTACTTCAGTGTAATACAAATAAATATACAAATTACCATAAAAAATAATTTTTTTAACATTACTAGCACTAGCGTTAAAAGAATTAACTTGTATATTTTTATGTAGAATTCAAAAGAAATTTAATTAAAATTTATTATTTAATTTTATGATGGTGATAGTTATTTCATACCAGTCATAAACAGGGACGTATTTACGTATAAACAATGTTTTTTTTAATTTATTATAATAATTACGTATTGTAAATACTTTTTTAATAAAAATGCGAAAAAAATAAGGCAAGACTTCTTCCAGCCTACTATAATGGCGGAAATATTTTAAAGACCTACACACAGTAATACGCCTCATGTTACGAACAATTAGTAAAATAAAAAATGCTAAACATAAAATTTAAAACTTTATCAACCTTGTGAAAAGCAGTTTTTTTTAACAACCATACATAAAAACTAAAATAAAATAATAATTGTAATTAAATCACACAACACAACAGTATCTTTCATAATAGGTTTCTAATGACAATCCTGAACAGAATGCGAAAACGGAACGTTATTTTATACCGGTGTCGTATGAATGGCAACTCACAAAGTGCTACGCATTTGAAATAGATTACACTCAATCTTGCGTGGAAAAAGAATGTGAGAAATATCTCGGTAAACCGAAATCAATTCAATCTATACCAGGTGATGGGAATTGTTTCTTTAACTCGATATCTTACTGGATAACTGGTACGGCAAAACATGGAAAATTCTTCCGTAAAAAAATAGTGAAAGTAATATATTAATGTATTATAAAATATGTAAAATTTTTCTTACAAATATAATTGATTTTTTGATAATAATAGTATTATTATTATCATTAATGACAGATTATTATTTTTTGTAATTTTTTTTAGTCAATGAAAACCTCGGAAAGATTTAATTTATTAATAAGTGCCGAAGAAAAACTCAATAAGCACATTCAAAAAATGCTAGATTCCAGTAAGTTTCCATTTATATAAATCAAAGGTGTTAATACAAAATCAAGTTAAATTATTTTTTAAACATTATTATTAGGACTCGGTCGATATGCAATTCAATATTAACCCATTAAGTCCGAAGTTTTCTTCTTTGTATTTTTATTATTTTTTTTTATACATACGTTTAAAATGATATTCAAAAGAAATAATAATAATTTTTTTTGTTATTATGACCTAATGATGAGATATTTAACTTTACCATGTAATAACGCTATGATTACAAGGTGTGATATATACTAAAATTATAATAAAATGTATCTGTATTTTATTTACAAAAACTAAGTTCAAAATGATATCTTACAATGAAGTTGAATAAAATATTAGAAAAAGTACATTAAAATATTTTTTTAATTTAATAACTCTTATACTCTGGTATGTTTTGGTATGGAAAAGTTTAAAACATTCAACGCAAAATCCCACATTTACAGCTTACGACCACTTGAAAAACATCCTTCATCTGCGCATCTTCTTCTTTTTTTTTTTTTGAAAGATGGGAATAACAAGGTGTTCTTTTCCATTATATCTTACGTCATCGCCGGCTTTATGACAAGAGACACTAGAGATCGAAGTTGATTGTCTGCCTCCAACTTTAGGAGCTGTTCCATATTTTGTTAGCAACATACGTACAATTTCCCTTCTAAATTGAAGTTGAGAAATTGTTTGCAACTATGAAGACCGAAATATTTTATCATCGATTCATAATAGTTTATTTTCTGAACCGGCACAAAATTTTCAATACAACGTGTTTGAATTTTTTCAACAGGTTTCTCAATTTCCAAGCTTTATCTCCTGTATTTATTTCATTATTATCTGCGCAGTGTATGAATTTCATTATTTGAAAATCTATCCCTACGCATAGAATTATATACTAATATATTTTTTACAAATTAATCTTGTTCCCAATAATGCCGTTTTTATGGTAAATTATACCCACTCAAAATTAGAATACCGATTAAACATCTTATTTAGTCTGAAGTAATGTTTTGGTCATGACAATTTTTAAATAAAGAATATTTTTTAGTTTCTTCAACCAATAAATCGATACTATCATTAGTAATAAACAATTCAAATAATTCTAATGAAGTCATATTGAACAAATGGCCATATTTCGGGTTCGAAAATTCACTCACCTTTTCGTCAAAATCACCATGAATCTATAATGGAACTATTTTTTTTTCTATTTTTAAACCATTTCTCATTTTTTACGTTAAACTTATTAATACTAGTTAAAATATTTGATAAAGTAACTGATTTTTTTGATGCTTTAGAAGTACTTGAAGATGGTGTAGAATAAATCTGATTTATTTCTGTAGAAACATTAGGTATTTCAATTACAGAAAACCTACCAATTCTTTTATTATTTTCAAGGCGTAATTCGACAGGAACTTGTAATTGTCGACCTGCCAAATTATCATTTGTACCACCCCCATCTTCATCACTAGAATTTTCATCTGTAAGAATAATTCCTGCAAGGGTTCTATAAAAATGTCTTCTAAATGAGATTGATGCTCATCTTCAACTTCAAATAAAATATCAAGCGCTTCTTAAAGTGTTAAGCCATGACTAATAAAACAAAAAAAATGACTATAGAATATAACTTGTGTTACACATAGAGACTTAATAGAAAAAAAACTCAGTAAAATTATAATAAACGAATTTAACTTCCAAAAAAATTCATTTCGATTCAAATACAATAAACACCAGATTTGAAACACATATGAATCATGACTAAATAATAATATCATCTGGCAAGGTTTCATGGAATCAGTTAAATATATAGAAACAATACAGTGATAAAATATTATTATTTCATTCGCTTGGGGACTATAATATATTTAAAAAATATAAATATAGCGTTACCATGTGGGTACGTGATAACTCAATGGGTTAAATATCGGCCAATATATGTAATAAAAGATTTATCGGGTTTTTTTTTTAATTCGATAGTTACTCGGACATTATATAAAAATTATACATTAAAAAATCCAATAATCAGGATGGATTTATTATCAACTTTTAAAATACCCTAATTTTATCACAGAATGCCTCTATATTGATGATTTTACATAGTGTATTATACTAATTACCACCTCAATCCTAGTTCAGCCGTTATTAGTGTTAATAATGATTAATAATGTCTTTTGTATTTACTATATTTAACATCTTTGAATTTAAAAAACAAAATGAGAAAGATATTTAAATTTTATGTGAATATTATTATGTTTTGTAGTATACACTGAGTGATTATTTTAATATTAACTAATCAATTTCTCTTAAAAGATAATTATTTAAAAAAATTATTTTTGGTGTTTTTAAATTTTATACATGTATTTCTCAACATATGGAAAAAAATCATACATGGATTAAGGTAATAACAGGGTTTTAAGTAGAAAGGACACAAGCAGACTTAACCCCTACTTCTAAAAATGCTTAAATAGCGTTCCCATAAAGAAAATTTAGAAAAAGTCACCTGAATGCTCAATTTTTTAATCAAAACTACCAATAAGTTTTAATTAATCATTAAGATTATACTAAACGATTGAATAAAAAAAATTAATTTTAAATTTGCCTGTGTAATAGTATTCAAATATACAATACGTTTTTATATATTTATAGTTTCTACATGAATAAGGTATACTTAGCAAATATTTGGCGTTATTCTTTTTAAAAATAATTTTTACAGTTTTGGAATACGTTAAAATAATTGTTTACCATTTATTTCTAATAAGAAAAGAAAATACAAATTATGAATTTTTCTATTAATTTATGCATTTTTTAATATTTATGAATATGTTAATATTTATGAAATACTCCTTAATATAAGTTTTCGTTAGTTGTAATATTAATTAGAATGTTTACAGATATCTATATATTCATAAAGACATAAATATATATGCAAATATTCAATATTTTCTATTTTTTTCTATAATTTCTAAAACTGTTTTTAAATGTTAAACTAAAATGTTACTCTTAAAGGGCTCAAAATATATCTGATGAAATAATCTGAGGGTTCTGTTTGATTATTGTGCCGAGAAGTAGCATATTTTATCAAATTTTATCATAGATTCTCTAAATCAACTATATTTAAAAGAAAGAATTCCTCAACTCATAAATCATTCTTGATCAATTCATTAATATGTCTATGACATCTATGGATTCATAACAGTTTTTTCTTAGATTTCTATGGCTTCTTTAATTTTTATGCATTACTATGACTTCTTAAATTTTCCATCTTCAGTAAAATGATTAAATATTTAATCTTTAATCATTAGACTTTGCAAATTTTGCAAAGTCTAATCACAAAAATTACTTTCAACTTTTAAAACACTCTTCTAAGAACTGTGAAAATTCCAGTTTAAATCATTTCATTTTAATGCAATAATATTCTAAGTGAATACTAAAATAATATCAAATATCTATCTAATAGTACACTTAGTATAATAATTAATATTTTTTAATTGAAAATAAAAATTTCATTAATATTTCCAAAAATGATTATCAACACATGTCGAGGGAATTTCGTATTACTAGGCAAGTCTGGACTGCATTCGATTTTTATTTGATTATTCATCCTAATAAGTTTAAATAAGTTGTATATATTGTAAAAACATCATATACAGAAAATTCATTTTTTCATTTTTAGAAGAGTGGGCTGACTCCCCTGAAATATATGCTGCAGCAGAATTTTTAAATACATCTATTTATGTTTATTCACAAAATGGATGGAATTTTATAAGTAAAGATGGAGTAGGAGCTGAAGAGTTAAAAGAACCTTGTATTTATATCCATCACGTGAACAATAATCATTTTGAAGTTATAACCGATGTGGTAACTATTTTTACATAAATATAATGTTTAAGTAGCATGATTGATCAATAAAATTAATTCTATTGTTTTTTGACATAAATACTATAAATTAACTAAATAATCTATAACTTTTTATCTTACATTGCATTACAAGAAATAATACCTTAAAAGTTATTAATGCAAATTCCAATTTCAGCCAAACTTTAATATGAATAAAAATTAAGTATTATATAAGTTTTTAAATTGTAGATAAAAATAAATGTACTAATTTGTTATTTTCAGTACAATAAGCATAAAAAATATTTATATTCATAACATTGTTTATTATTTATGTAACAGCATGATAAAGATATTTCTGAAGAAAAAAAAAAGAGCGAAAAAATTAAAAACTCCAAGAAATCAGAAGAGTCAAATAAGCCAAGTGAACTTCAAAGTCTAGTGGAACATAATACTAACATTGAAAATCCACAATTTATAACTAAAGAAGAAGTAATTTTAATTACAATAATTTTAATTATAAAAAATTTAATTATTACAATAATTAAATTTGACATAAACATAAATATTTAGACTACACTATACTCTACTGGAGTAGCAATATATCTAGTGATAAAAACAGCTAACTTTGTCTGTATCAAAATTAATTATAAAACTCAATAAGTTATTTAACTGGCATAAGTAAAATAAGTGTTAATTTAAATCTAATCTTGATTAAAATCATTGTCATAAAATTCTTCAACACAGTGTGCAAAAAGAAAAACATTTTATATTTTTTCTAGCTAATGAAGGAAATATTAAATTGAATATTTATGAGAGATTAAACTAGAATGAAAATATTTACAGAAAAAGTATTGAAAATAAATTTCAAGGAATGATTTCTACTAATCTCTTTTTTGACACGCTAAATATGCGAGGTATTTATAGCATGAAATTCCAGTACAATTCACTATTATCTACCCTTAAAAGTGGGCCTGACCAAGCGTACCAAATTTTTTTTTAACATTTGACTTCCAGGCTTGCACAATTATTTTTAAAAATAGACTAGTGATAACAATAAAACATTTAAAATATACTTTATGTTTTTAAAAGTCAGCAATAATGAGACAGAATATTATAAATATTCATTATTTCAATGATTTAATGCAGCAAATTCATATTCTAATTTAATTATATTCTGTAGTGTTAATGATTTTATTTTGTACTGAAATTTATAAAAAATCAGACCCGATAAAGAGGTGAGCCCCAGGAGTCATCTTGACCTTTTATTGTTTATAAGCAATATTGTCTGATTTCCATGAACACTCTGCATAGGAGGCCCTATCTCAAAGTTACACACCGAGCCAATATATTCCGGTCCAATACAAAATATTTTATTACAATGTGTATCATCTTCATTGGAAGGAATCATTAAGTATCATGTAAAATAACAATAAACTTAAACTATTTTAAAAGCCATGATTGATATATTCTAATCTATAATGTAATTAAAAGTATATAAATACAATTTTTCTGGATAAAATTGAAATTTAATTTTACCGTAATATATAATAACAAAAAAATACAAGACCTGGAGTAAAATATTGTTATGAGATAATTTTTTTAAGTAATATAAAAATAGTTTCAATTTTTTGGACATTAAAAAATAATCAAATATTTTTTATTATATTTTAGGAAAATGTTCCTAGTCCAGATAGTATAAAACATAATAAAAAAAACTTTCAGCGACTATTTATGCCAACCACAAGTGAATGGCAGAATGACCAGTGTAGAAAGATGAATTTTATAGTAATTAATTATGTAAATAAAGAAATTGTAAAATTTCTTGGTAAACCAATTAAGATCGAAGAAATTGCTAGATATGGATTAAATGGATTATCTAGTGCATTGTCTTATTGTATAGCTGGAACAACAAGATATCGTAAAACAATTCAAAGAAATATAATTGAAGTAATAGTACAAAACTATAAAACTAAAAAACATTAAATTCCTAATAAAAGAATTTTCAAAAATTTTAAGGCCATAAAATCGTCATCTACTTACAAATTATTATCAAATTCTGAAAATATTTTAAAAAATCGTATAAATGATATTGAAAATAATATCTGTAAGTATAATGATACAAATAAGAACAAAATATAAAAAGTTTTTATGGTCATGTTATAAATGTTCTCCCCTATTTTACATTTGAAACATTGCCGTTAAAAATTTTTTCCCCAATTAAATATTAAAATGATTTCAAACTTTTAAGGATTAATCTTGTTGATTAATGATCACGGCTAAAACAATCTTAGTATATTTTTATGCACCATGTAATAACAAATCATACAACAAAAAATTTGGAATTCTTTAAGATTTCTTATAATACCTCGAAAATATTTGTAACTTCATTTACTTTTCACGCAGTTTTTAAAAGTTCAGTCATATTTTTGACAAGAGAAATAACTTTTCAGATTCAATATATGCATTTTTTTCAGAAAATAATTTCATTAACCAATTATATTTATAAATGAGCTACTTTGTTATTTTTGAATTTTTCAATATTTTATATAATTAATATTTAAGAGTTATTCTTAGTAAAAAGTTATGTTTAGACAATTATTAAATAAATTTCATTTATAAAAATTTGAGTATTAAATTTAGGAAAATACAGGGAATTTATTACGAACAAATTATTGGTAAATGAAAAATAATCTGAAGTAACTAATTATTACGGCTTCATATTTATCAATTATAACAGCTGATATGTTATTCACATAATTGTACTGAACACTTAATATCTGGAAAAATTCATTCCTACCTATAAAAAAAATGTGAGAATGTTTAAAAAGTAAACTATAGGTGAAACAGTAAAAAATTAACAATACTTTCAATATCAAACAAATCTTAACTATCGCGTCGGCCTAATTCCTATTCACACTATATAGATGTATAGAGTAATTTTTTTATCACAATCCACTCAATTACTCACAGAATAAAAATAATTTTTAATGATACTAAACGCTCCGTATCTTTGATTTTTAATAAACATTCAAAAAAATGTGTTCGTGGTTGTTATACTTATTATTAAAACTATGACAAATTATATGCAATTGCGTCATTGTTTCCTTATTTTAAAATTTATTTAATGATAAAATTTAATTTCAAGGCTCATCTGTGGAGTGTCCTGAATTACAAGTGGCAGCTGAATACTTGAAAACATCAATTTTTGTTTATTATCAAAGTGGTTGGGAATTTTATAGTAAAAATGGATTTGGTTGCAAAGAAACAGCCGAACAATGTATATACTTAAAAATCAATACAGATTCAAATAGTTTTGATGTCGTAACAGACGTGGAAAATAATATTGAATAAAATAAACTTGAATATACAGGGTGGCCCACCACTCACTGACAACTTAAATAACTTTTGATCCAGTTAATATTTTTAGTTGATTTTTTTTTTAAATATTAGTTAGACGTTAGGTCTATAGCTATATCTCAATAATTATTTTTTTTACATTTTATTAAAAATATTAATTATTTTTAAATTTTAAATAAAATGTAAAAAAAAAATCTAAGATAGCTATTTTGTAGAGTAGAATTTAAGAAAAATTTTAGTAAAAAAATATCTTATTAATATTCAGTAGTAAATATTCTGTAGCGTTTTGAAGTTTGTAAAAATTTGAATTTTCATGTACTATTTTACGGTATTAAACATTGAAATACGTATTGAGAAAAGGACAGAAGAAAACGCTATCTTTTCATGATTACTGTGTATACATATGATGATAGTGTGTATACATTACAAACTTGGCATAAATACCATGATAAGAAATTAGATAAGGCAATTATTACTTATCACTCTCATTCAAAAGTATATTGAAAAGATAGCGTTTTCTTCTGTCCTTTTCTCAATACGTATTTCAATGTTTAATACCGTAAAATAGTACATGAAAATTCAAATTTTCACAAACTTCAAAACGCTACAGAATATTTACTACTGAATATTAATAAGATATTTTTTTACTAAAATTTTTCTTAAATTCTACTCTACAAAATAGCTATCTTAGATTTTTTTTTTACATTTTATTTAAAATTTAAAAATAATTAATATTTTTAATAAAATGTAAAAAAATTAATTATTGAGATATAGCTATAGACCTAACGTCTAACTAATATTTAAAAAAAAAATCAACTAAAAATATTAACTGGATCAAAAGTTATTTAAGTTGTCAGTGAGTGGTGGGCCACCCTGTATATCTCACTTAAAACTAAAATTTTATTGTTTGAACAAATTGCATTATTGTAAACCCATTTTATTATTTTATTTACAAGCTATTAACCTTCAACATACATTTGTGTGTGACCTTATTTTTGACGTCAATAATTGACAACTAGTAGTATAACTAGCGGGAAACTTAGAATTATGGTATTTTAGGACACTGCTAAGAATTTTCTGTTATAATAACGTCAAAATATAGAAATTTGTGCTAAAAAAGTTATCAAATTTTATAAAGAGACAAATTCAAGTTGAAAAACCCGTAAAGTCTTTTTCCATTACTATCAAAAACGCATTACAAATTTTATAGCATAATCAAGCAAATTTGCATGAGAGTGCAATGATCATAATAAAATTATCCAAAGAAAATAATATGTTTAATTAACTCAATTACTAATTCATTATTGTATTTTTAACACGCTTATATTAGTTTCACATATATGTTGTGTGTTGTTTGTTTTGTGTTGTGTTGTTTGTAACTTTCCACGCGCACGTATCTACGGCCTTGTGACTAGACGCATTCAACCCACCCCACGCCACGCTCACCACACAACGGCACCACTATTCCTGTAAAAATTTTTTATGACGATATTAGCAAGTATATAGTCTTTATTATCAATAGTAGTACGACACAGTTGTGAATTTATAAATACACTAACTGCCAATACAGAAATTATATCTATTGATAGTCATAATTGACAATAAACACTCCGTGACTGTGATAGCGATGTCATAGAGAACTAAGAAATTAAAAATAATTTTTAAAATAAGCTTAAAACAATAATTCACGAAAAATACTAGTATTATTGTGAAAAAAGCGTGGGTGCTTTATGCCATATTTTTCGTATATTGAGCGCCTGACGCTTTTTTCACAATAATACTAGTATTTTTCGTGAGTTATTGTTTTAAGCTTATTTTAAAAATTATTTTTAAATTTTCAGTTCGATGTACTTTAAAAGCGTGTTTTTTAAACTATATTTATTAACACGCTTATATTAGTTTCACATGTATGTGTGTTGTTTGTAACTCTCCACACACCAAGTGTTATTATCTCGCGTATCCCGTCGTTTATGGCCTTGAGACTTGACTGTCGTAACCCATTCACCCCACCCCGCTCAACACTCGCCGAGAACACTGTTTTCTGTATAATTTTTGGTTTTCGTACCCGTACATGCGGGCGTATCAATATTATATATATAAACAAATTTTTATTGTTTATTATTAGATATAAACATTTAAAGATTTAAATTTTGTTGAGTTAATATATATATTTATACATAAGAGATTACAAATACAGGTAGCTAATTGGTTTTTCATGACGATATTAGCTAGCATATAGCCTTTATTACTATGGTAACAAGACACATTGTTAGGGGTTCATAAACACACTAACTGGCAATACAGAAATTATATCGTGCGTGGGAGTTTGTGCCACATTTTTCGTATATTGAGCGCCCGACGCTTTTTTTCACAATAATACTAGTATTTTTCGTTCATTATTGTTTTAAGCTTATTTTTAACTTTTTAGTTCGATATGCTCTAAAAGCGTGTTTTTCAGTTTTTTTAACTATATTAATTTTTAATATCAGTTATGAATATTATTCAATAAAATAAGGTTAAAAATATTTTTAAAAAACGTATTATTTTAAGAGAAATTGAGCGGCTAGCGTTATAATAAATATAGTTTAAAAAACTAAAAAAACACGCTTTTAAAGTACATCGAACTAAAAAGTTAAAAATAATTTTTAAAATAATTATGAACAAAAAATACTAGTATTATTGTGATAAAAGCGTCGGGCGCTCAATATACGAAAAATATGGCACAAAGCACCCACGCTTTTATCACAATAATACTAGTATTTTTTGTTCATAATTATTTTAAAAATTATTTTTAACTTTTTAGTTCGATGTACTTTAAAAGCGTGTTTTTTTAGTTTTTTAAACTATATTTATTTTATACTTTTTAGTTTCATGTTATGATAGTAGTTACTATCAATATCATGGTTGTTACGGGTAACGGGAAATCAGGGTTCGATTCTGGGGAGGGAGTCTGAGAAACGGCTACCACATCCAAGGAAAGCAGCAGGCGCGTAAATTACTCACTCCCGGAACGTGGAGGTAGTGACGAAAAATGACGATACGGAAATCATCCCTCGTAATCGGAATGAATACTTTATATCTCTTAATTAGAATAAATCGTGTTAATATATTAATTTTAATAGTAATTAGAATATATATATTTATACAAATAATGCGACTTAACTACGTAAAAGTATCATGCACTAAGTATAGCTGTGTTTTATGGCCGGGCGGGTCGGACTAACGTTATACCCGAGGTATAAACGGCGGTAGGAATATATATATATATACGTAAGGCGCATTAGACGCGGGCGTTATTGGTCAGTCAAAATAAAAATTTGTTTACATATATATAATATTGATGACAAGCACGCGTGTACGGGTACGATAACTAAAAATAAATTTTTATAGGAATAGTGTACCGTCGTATTGTGAGCGAGGCGTGGGGAGGGGTGAATGCGTATAACAGTCTAGTCTAGACAACGGAATATGCGATAACGCGTGGCGTTTGGAGAGTTACAAAGTTACATACAAACAACATACAACATACATGTGAAACTAATAAAAGCGTATTAAAAATCGCCAGAATCTTCATACCGGCAATCGATATCCAAAAATCAGTTTTTTTCGATATATTGACTGAATAGATTTTCTTTTTTAATTGTTAGTAAAAATGGCTAGTACACATAATCACTTAAAATCAGTATTTAACCGATTGTATCACCTTTTTTTATCAGCATAAAGTGTACATTTTTTTAAACATCTAATTTCTTATGGTAGGGTAATTTTGGAATTTCACAGTCAAATTCCGGCAGGTGGCAGCACAGTCGCGCCTATAAGAGTGACTGGGCATGGCTATATTAAGAAGTGAGGTAAGGGGCCGTTGATTGATTGAAGTGGGATTAATGATGGTAGAGAAAGCCCTCAACCTTAGTTGTTATTGTTGTTCTCTTTTTAACACGCTTATATTAGTTTCACATGTATGTTGTTTGTTGTGTGTTGTTTGTAACTCTCCACGCGCCACTTGTTATTATTCTCGCATATCCCGTCGTCTATGGCCTTGAGACTAGACTGTCGTAACCCATTCAACCCACCCCGCTTACCACTCGACGACAACAATATTTTCCTGTATAATTTTATTTTTGGTTTTCGTACCCGTACACGTGTGCGTGTCAACAATATACAGGGTGATTTTTTTATCATAACCCACTCAATTACTTGCAGAATAATAATAATTTAAACATTCTTTTTTTTTATTATATTTAGTTACACATTATTCTTGAATTTTTAACTATGTAATACTTTTTAAGTTCATCCCTAATGCCTTGGAGGGGGGTCAACTTTGTTTTTTTAAATGGTAACACATATTTTTTATTTAATAGTAAAAGGCATTTGAATTTTTAATATAACTTTATTAGCTTATTAGATATAAACATTTAAAGTTTCAAAATTTCGAGTAAATATACATGTATAATACACATGGGATTGTAAATACAGGTAGCTAATTGAATTANACACATGGGATTGTAAATACAGGTAGCTAATTGGATTTTTATGACATTGCTGTCTCAGTCACGGATTGTTTATTATCAATTATGATTATCAATAGATATACTTTCTGTATTGTCAGTTAGTGTATTTATAAACTCATAACAATGTGCCTTACTATCATTATTAATAACAATGTTGTGTACCTGCTAATATCGATGTCATAAAAAATCAATTAGCTACCTGTATTTGTAATCCCTTGTGTATTATACCTATATATTAACTCAAAAATTTGAAACTTTAAATGATTATATCTAATAAACGAATTAAGTTATATTAAAAATTCAAATGCCATTTACTATTAAATTAAAAACTCAAACATTTTATTAAATTAAAAATATGTGTTACCATTTAAAAAAACAAAGTTGACCCCCTTACAAGACATAAGGGATGAACTTAAAAAGTATTACATAGTTAAAAATTCAAGAATAATGTGTAACTAAATATAATAAAAAAAAAAAATGTTTAAATTATTATTATTCTGCAAGTAATTGAGTGGGTTATGATAAAAAAATCACTCTGTATATATATATATAAACAAATTTTTATTTTAACTGACCAATACCGCCCGCGTGCCATACGCCTTACGTATATATATTTATATAATCCTACCGCCGCTGCCTCCGTTTATACCTCAGGTATAACGTTCCCCCCGCCAACAAAACACGGCTATACCTAG